GTTACACTCCAACAGCGTTGTCTTTGGATTCAATCTTAATAGACCTAACCTTACATATGCTCATTTTTAGGTCCAGACGATAAAGTTACTAAATCAGAATGTGCTTTCTCTGAATATACGTGCCTTTGTTACGGCAGATCCGGATTCTTGAAAATCAATATTAATCTGAAAAATATAACCCCAACCCAATAGGCGGAAAGTTCAGACCCCTTAATGTTAATTTCACTTTTTGCTATATCTTCAGAACTTTTTAAGAGAATCGAAAAATTTTTGCACACTACCATAAAATTCAGAAACATTTTGAATTGTTAAGTAAACAAGTTCTTACATCAAGTATGAAATGTAAAATGACGAAGAAAAAAAAAACTAGAAAGAAATTTACCGATTAGTTTCAGAGTTATGCAATTTTAAAAAAGTCTTACATTTAAAAATTAGATCTTTCGAGAATTAATAAAACGATTTCATTAAAAAAATTTTTTTGTCATTTAAAATTGTATACTTGATATAAAAAAAAAATTCTGACGATTCAAAGTAATTTCGAATTTTATAAAATAATTCAATAAAAGGTAATAAATAATTACTTAAAGTTATATTTTGCATAGAATTTATCTATGAATAAACAAATATTTTGTGCTATTCTCCTTGATTGATCCTATTTTGATTTTCGTTATTTCTCCTAATGTGATAAAGCGACCTCTTCATTTTCCTTTTTTGAAAGGTATTGCGCTATTACTATATTAACAGAAGTTTGTTAAGCACAAAAAAATATGGAGAAAACACAAATTAAAAATCTAACCTAGAATTTTTTTTTTTTTTTTTTAATTTAATAATACCGTCATTCGGGGTTACTTTGTGCAAACTCGAATTTGGCATTTTTCAAGTGCTGCTATTCAGTATTATGTTTATTTCACGTTAAAAATGTGTGGAATTTGAAGATAGAAGTCTCTTCTATTACCACAAAAAATTTTTGAGATTTTTAAAACAATCTCAGTGTGTTTCGTTCATCCAATGCCAACAACTTTCCGAGGACGTCGGATGTCGAAAAGTGTGCGTGGAAACTTCAGCTGTGAAATGCAAAGACGTTGATAAAAAAATTGTCGTAAGTGCAAAATTTTTTATTTATATAGTAATAAACAATTATATCATGTTAGCATTAAAAAAATTTGAAAATTAATAACAAATAAATGGAAAATGAAAAAAAAATGCATTTTGGGGCTACTTTGTGCAAAGTTTCATTCGTTTTTTTTTTGGACAGAAAAATGGTCAGACGTTATAAAAAAATACCTGGAATGAGAAACTACCGTGATTACACTTTAGAAAAGCTGCAACAATGTTTGCAAGCAGTTGTTGGTGGTATGTCGATTGCAGAAGCTTCTCGGAAGTACAAAATCCACAGAAATACTATCTCTAATAAAATTCACAAGAAACACGTGAAACTTCCTGGTAAACTATTATTTTTCTTCTACAAAGATTTTTCTAATGAATTAATCAAACGATTTAACACATAAAAATATATTTTATAGGACATCAGGTGATTTTGACAGAAACTGAAGAGCAAGTTCTGTCATGTTCATTCAAGGATGTTATGTTCAAATTTAACAATATTATAAATGTTAATGAATATGTAATAATTATTATTTTTAAAATTTCATCCATTTCAATGTTTAAAAATGTATATGGTTTTCTTTTGTTTAAACTCAAATGTTTTGAAATAAACATTCTTTTTAAGAAAAAAATTCTTCAAAAAAATGGTTTTTTAACGCTGAAAATTATTTTCAAACTAATATCTTTACATATCTTGATGTTTTTGTCTTTAAAAATGTCAACAATTAACTTTTTTAACAATTTTATATCAATATTTTACTAAAAACATGATTATTAAACTGAATTCCTATCGCTGCACAAAGTAGCCCCATTTGGGGGCTACTTTGTGCAAGGTATGTTTTGACTTATTATTCGTAAATATTACATACAAATAATGCCAATATTGATCAAATTCACTCGTCTGAGTCCAGTTATGAATATAATATCGATAAATTTTACTAAAGTTTGAATTAACATAGTTTTTTTACATGTCAAAGTTCAAAAACTGCGAAATCCTGCACAAAGTAGCCCCGAATGACGGTAGTTGTAAAAATTGTAAGGTTACAATTTTTTACATTATTTTAAAGAATGTTAAATTAAATAAAAATCTACAATATTTTGACCAATTTGGTCAAATAGTTTCCGAGTTATCCAATTTTCAAAAAATCGTCTCCTTAAAATTTGATCTACCAGAACTATTTGACAGATTTCGTTAAAATATTGTATCTCGTCATTTAAAATTAAATTACTTTCTCAGAAGTAGCATAAAAATTTTTAAACATAATTTAATTACTGACCTTATGATGAGATTTTCAACAACTAAGACTCAATTGTTCAAAAAAAATATAAAGCAGAGTTGAATAAATATCCAGCATGTTTATTTGTGGATATTATAACAAGGACTAAAAGCTTATTATTATCTCCTGTCTCTTTTTTGACAGTTGAGAGGAAACAAGCCTTTTGAGAACACACAAGTTTGTATGGAATTTTATCTTCTTTGCAACACTTTTGCATGAAAGCAAAGGGAAAATCAGTTTGCAATACAGAAAAGCAACCCTGTTAAATATGAGAAAAACCAGAACTATCACTAAGAGGGTTAACTGATGTTTATCTCTCTATAACTGGAAAAGAATTTAAATCAAAAATAGGAAAATATTATGAAACCAATATAATTTTACCAATAATTATAATTTTTTTTACATTTTAAAATCCATTTAATTATTAAGTATAAAATGATTTGCTTAAAATCAATGCCTTCCTTAAAACCAGGAAATTTCCAGTTTGTCACATTTTCTGAATTTCAATATTAATTCAGGCCTGATATTCAAAAGGAGAAACAATATTTTCCAAACAAAGAGGGGATAAAAAATAAAAATACACGAAGTACTTTACATTATCATAACAGTTGGGTAAATTTTCGTTTTTTTTTTTTTTTAAACTACTATCATTTCTGGTACATATTAATAAAATTATGCCTGAATTTACTATTAAAAAAAAAAGTAACATTTAGATAAAAATACTAAATAAAAAATTAAACAACCAACATTTTATACTTCATTATAAAATAAAGTTGATTATTTGAAATCAATCTTCTAGTGTTTGATTAATTTAGAACTAGCACCATTTTTACCACTCTGTATTTGAACCACTAAAAAGTTTTGCTCACAGCATTCCAGATTTGAGTTTATATTCTTTTGGTTTCCTATAAGGAGAGATTAGGTTTCACAATAGCTATGAAACTGTTATTATTCTGTATAATTCGTAATAGTCATGTTTGTATTTTAATTAAAAATAATCATTCAAATAAAAAAAAGTCTTAGTTTTTTTGTTGCTATTTTAACATTAAATATGCATATTTGTTTATAACAAGCTTGATAAGGCAATAATTTCATCAGTAATTATGAATTGTCTATACAGTGAGCTTTTTTTACTGTAAATATAAGTAGTTTTGATGGAATCTCAAATGTATGCTTAACATTACATTGGATATACATGTATAGGGTGTTATCAGAAATACTAAAAACCATAATTTTTATTACTCAATCACAAAGATCTTGACTATGAAATNCAATTCTGTATGTTCTGAATTCATATTTATTCACTGGAATGACGAAAGCAATGTTGACTTCACTTTAATTCGTAATGAATTGAAGACAGAAGAAATGCATTTTACCTTAATACACACATCGGTAACAGTATCCGAAATCGGAAGTCATCAGTTGCAAGTTTGTTGATAATAGAAATTAAAAATTATCGAGGAATTTTTCTTCAAATGTTTGGCGTGTTCTGTTCCTGAAAGATTTACTAATATTCTGGATTTTTTTTTCAAGTTCTTCGGCCTTTTCCTTAGGGAAATTCTGTTTCTTATTTGCTGCTAAAAAATGGCGTCTGATTCTGTCAATGATTTGGATGGAACTAAATGAAAACGTGATAAATTAATGTGTGATATTTTCCTCTTGGCGACGAATATATATTCTTTGTATTTATGTGCTTGTTTTTGTTCCCAATAAATTTTGTTTTTTTGATTGCTAAAAAAAAATAATTAACAAAAATTTTATTCTTCATTATAAAATTAAATTGATTATTTGGAATCAATGTTCTAGTTCTTGATTAATTTAGAACTAGCACCATTTGTACCACTCTGTATTTGAACCACTAAAAAGTTTTATGCACAGCATTTTAGATTTGAGTTTATATTCTTTTGGTTTCCTATAAGGAGAGATTAAGTTTCACAATTGCTATGAAACTGCTATTATTCTGTATAATTCATTATAGTCATCTCTGTATTTTAATTAAAAATAATCATTCAAAAAAAAAGAAAGTCTTAATTTTTTTTTGTTGCTATATTAACATTAAATATACATATTTGTTTGTAACAAGCTTGCTATGGCAACAATTTCATCAGAGGTTATGACTTGTCTTTACAGTGAACTTTTACTGTAAATATAAATAGTTTTGATGGAATCTCAAATGTATGAACATTATATAGGATATACGTGTATAGAGTGTTATCAGAAATACTAAAAACTTAATTTTTATTACTCAACCACAAAGAAGTGATCTTGACTAAGAAATCGTTATAATTCTGTATAAATCATAGTAATTGGCATCTTTGTATTTTAATTAAAAATAATCATTCAAATAAAAGAGTCTTAGTTAGTTTGTTGCTATTTTAACATTAAATATGCATATTTGTAAATAACAAGCTTGCTATGGCAACAATTTCATTAGCGGGTAGGAATTGTCTTTCCAATGAACTTTTACTGTAAATATAAATAGTTCGATGGAATCTCAAATGTATGTTTAACATGACTTTGGATATGCGTGTATAGATTGTTCTATAAAGACTGCCTTTAATACGCATTTTATCTTTAGAATCCTTAATAAAAATTTAAAACAAGAGATTATACACATTGTTAAAAATAATTCATTTTAATAAACCCTAAGATAAATACTTCATAAATAGAATCAATGAATTAAAATATTTATAGCACAAATTAAACCACAATAATAATAATATATCTATGTGAATTTATTTACAAATTATGAAATACTGAGCAAATTGACAATCTAAATGCAAATATAAAATACATAAACGTCGTGACTGGTGATTGAATGTACATCTGGATCTAAAAAGAAAAATATTAGAAATGTATATACACACAAATATACTCAAAATAAAACAGACAAATGTAAATTAACAATAAATAAGAATTAAAATTTCCCCAAATTGAAAACTTTAACTTTTTCTTTTATTCTATGAAATATCATTAGAAAAAGATATTTCTAAAAGATTTAAGCATGACCTTTTAAATTGCACAAACAGTTTTGCTATGTAAAATCTTCCAAAACATTTGCCGCTTAAAGAAAAGTTATTTACATAGAGTTAGAATAGTTTCCTTTATTTTGATCAACTTCTTTCTATACAAGAGTGTATACATATATCAATTCAGTAAAATACTATAATTTATTAGAAATATGTAAAAGACATGAGAAAACTTTTAAAAAATTTCCATTTATTGATAAAAATGTAACAAAAACCGTGCCTCAACAAATGATGCCATGTTCACTTGCCATTTTTTTAAAAATCCATTTTCATTATATAGGTGATATTGCTAAGTTCCACTGTACTCTAAAGTTTGTGATATTTTTATTGGACCTTTAAGTTAGATTCTGTGGTGACATATTTGGAGGAAAAAAATCATATTACCGAATACAAGTTAGCACTAGCACGTACAGATATCCACAGAGTTTTTTTTTTCATCCTTCCCCTTCAACTTTTTGAGTTAAGCTATGGAAATATTCATACTTAATAAAGCTGTTACTCTCTGTGCTTCTAAATACAATAATGCTAGTACATAGTAGTAATAATGCTAGTAATCTTCACATATGCTGTTTTACTAACGTTTTCATACAGAAAAAACATTAATTTTCAAGGTAAAACTTTTCACTAATGTAGAAGATACCAAGTAACTTAATTTTAAAACATTTATTGTACGCGTGCAGTTTAATTTTTATCTTGTTTGGATAATAAACCAGTTTCAACTCAAATATTTAAACTCTTAGCTATTGCAGCAAAAGTTACTAATTGTGTTACAATACTTCGATTTTGAATATGTTTATTTGCCAAACTTTAAAACAGAACAAAACAAATTCAAAATACTATTTTTTTTTAAATTAAATTTCAACTGAAAACTTTGATAAATTGTTCGTAGTACTTACAATTATAAATATATGTACAATCTGTGAATAAGTAATTTATACATCAGTATATAAGGCACTTTTATCAAGAAGAGCTAGGCGCAATACTTCTTCGCAGACTCTTTTGTAGTACCAGGCATCACCTTCAAGTCGCTTACGCCTGACTCCAATAGCTGATTGATGCTTGGGCAGTTCACATACTTCTAGTTCAAACCTAAGACATTTTCGACCTCCTTCACAAACTTTGCCTCGCAAAATAAATCTGTATAAAAATAGACCATAAAACCAAGATTTAAAACGCGACCTTTAAAAACAAAAAATCCAAAATATACTTAATTAATATTCATTGAATTTCTGCATTTATTTTCTAAATTCTGACACCATATAAAAGTTTTAAAAACCAATAGTAAACTGATGAACACAATGCGCAGTTAAAAGGCTATGTACTGACTTTTTAGTTTCATTTTTTTAATTTACATAAATAGATATAATAAAAATTAAGTAAGACAGATAACATAAATTAAGTAATGAACATTTAAACAAAACATATTTTATACCCATCAATAATATAAATATATTATAAATATATATGAGTGTTTAAGATGGTACTGAAAGTTACTTTTACATCCAAATTGTTTAAGCAATTGACACCAGAAAAATAAAATAACAAATACAATATTCTTTTTGATTGATTACACTTACTACTTACACTATTTATTTAAAAACAAAGTAAAACTTAGCTACATTATAAATGCACAACTGCCTGCAATTTTTATATTAATAACCCTTTCATTGTTAATAAAATACTATATATAATAAAAAACATGTTAAATTGAATTTTTATAATACCTATAAAAAATAAGCTACAATTAAAATTTATGAATTTGACAAAAAGCTTTTATACAAAACTAATATTTCTTACATATATTTAAAATACTTTAGATCTATACTCAAACCTATAAATGGTTAATATGTTCTTATTAAAAAAAATTATATTCACCCTTTTTGTTTACAAGGGATTCCTTTTCGAAGTAAAGCATTCTGTAATGAATCTAGCACTTCTTCAGCAGTAACTTTGTCATTGGTTGCAGAAACATTGCAAAGATTCTAAATTTGAACATTATGTCACAATAAATTAAAGTGATAATTGGCTTATATATATTAAAGTAGCAACTTTTAACACACCACAAGAAGTTAGAACAGAGGTGAATAAATTTCTTCCTGGTCAATAAATAATATATTCTTCGATATTGAATGACATGAATTAAAAGAGATAAATTATTTCAGACAAGTATAAAATTACCAAAAGGTATTTAACTGAAAATATAGTTTAAAATGTGCACACAAATATTTCTTTGTGTGCACATTTTAAACTATATTTTTCAGTTGCTTCAAATTTGTAAACAACAAGTATTGTCCTAGTTTTTTGTCATAACTATAGAAAAAGATTAATAATCTGCTTAAAAAAGGTTTAATCTGCATTTTAAAAAACTTAGTTTTTTATCTTTGGAACAAAGGGAAATTCAAAATACTTTAGAGAAAGGTGCGAAATTTTCATTTACCATCTTTCTGCTGACCACAGAACATTTGGGGTTGGCGAGTAAGATTTGTATTGTAAAATATTGTGTTTTAAATCAAATCACCGTATTTTCCCAAGGATGAGAGTTTGTGTTTACTCACTATTATTTGTGATGTCACAATGAACTGAAAAATACAGAACAATTTTGAAGACTAAGGCTTAGAATTTTTATGGATAAAAATTTTTGATTTGTGGAATTTAAAATACTTTAGATCAGGGTGTGAAATTGCCATTCACAAGCTAGTTACAAGCGACAAGATTTAGGGTTGGCAAGTATGTTTTATCTTGTAAAACATTGTTTCAAACCACTATATTTTTCCTAAGGTTTGAAAGTTTATTAGCAATTGATCCCATAGTCACTATAGACTGAAGAATAGAGAAACATTTTGAAGACTGAAGCCGTTGAAGTTTTGATTTGAATTTTATAAATTTCGACCCTAAGGCTATAATTTACAAGTCATTTTATCACTGAATGCAATGGTATACAAAATCGAAGTATTAGAAGTATAAAGAAATTTCTGATATTTTAGTTTTTTGATATTTTTTTATCTGAACATCTGTTAATGAAAATATACCCAGGGGTCTGTCCAGACATTTTGTGAAAGGTCCGTTTTCCGTGAAATTGTGAAAAAATTACTCACATTCTTTCAACCAGGGTCCGCTTTTATGAATTTGTGCAAATAGGGTCCGTTATTTCAACAAAAAAAATTTTCAAGGAGTTTTTAAATTGTATAGACATACAAGATTATGCTCAACACTGTAAAATTGTAATTAAAAAAATTAAATTTTAAAAAATAAACAACAATTGCTGCTTCTAAATTAGCAGGGTTGCCACTCAAATCTGGAAAAAAAATTCCCTGTTTTCCCTGTCCATATTATGCACAATATATTAAGAGAAAACAACAATTACTGGGCTCTTGTGTGAGCTAACTATATTTATTAGTTTTAATAGCTGGAAAAACAGCTGAACATACTTAAATAATGCTATAGTAAATGAAATAGTTTAGTATAGCTGAAATATCATGGTTAAACATCCCATAGATTACCAGGGTTGCCACTCAAATCTGGAAAAAAAATTCCCTGTGTTTTCCCTGTACTATTATACACAATATATTAAAAGGAAACAACAATTACTGTGCTCTTTTGTGAGCTATATAGGGCTAACTATATTTATTAGTTTTAATTGGTGGGAAAACAGCTGAACATATTTAAATAATGTTATAGTAAGTGAAATAGTTTAGTATAGCTGAAATATCATGGCTAAATATCCCATAGATTACGCTTTGAGTGGGTACCATTTTTTAAAAGACAAAAATAAGAAACAAAATCAAAATTCCCTGCATTTTCCCTGTTATTTTAGGTGATTTTTACCTGTATTTTCCAGGTTTTCCCTGTTCTCCATGTAGAGTGGCAACCCTGATTACGCTTTGAGTGATCACCATTTTTTAAAAGACAAAAATAAGAAACTAAATTCCCTGTATTTTTCCAGTTTGTAAAGAAAAAATCAAAAAATCCCTGCGTTTTCCCTGTTATTTTAGGTGATTTTTAAATTCCCTGTATTTTCCAGGTTTTCCCTGTTCTCCCTGTGGAGTGGCAACCATGATTAGAGATGCTACATACAAATATTTGGTATTTGTATGTTGCATCTCTGCTGCTCATTATACTGCTGAACGCAGAATATTAATTTCGGACGAATAATTGAAGAATCGTCTGCCGAAGACAAAACTTAATTCATTTACATCAATCTTTCTTGTTTTCTGCCCTGGAAAGGGTTTATTCAATTAACAAAATAATAATGAAGATAAACAAATTTGTGAAGGGTCCGATTAAAAGAAAAATCATTTCGTGAAGGGTCCGTTTTTATGAAAAGATATTTTGTGAAGGGTCCGTTAACGGACCCAAATTTCTTCTAAACAGACCCCTGATACCACACTTTAAAAAAAAGGCAAACAATAAACTTTAAAACATAATTTACTCTATATATACATTTTTAAGTTCAGAATTATTTATTTAGATATTTTGTATGCTGTTTCCATTCCAGTTTAATGGAACACTTAACAACTCATAATAGTTTTGAGACCAATATGTAGACTGTAAGCCTATATATAGACTATATCAACTATTATCTAACTACAAAACTCCAACTAGCATGATTTGTTACTGCATTTGCCAAAAAATAAATGAATAAATGTATGACTTTATCATTGGATTATGGTCATTTTGTTACAGTTATTTATAAAAGTAGTTATAAAACACAGCCAAAAAGGAAAAAAATAGCCAGCAGAATTCACCCCCAGCTAACAAAAATTTACCGATTTTTATTTTATTCTGGTTAATTTGAATAAGAAACGAGCTAATGGAAATTAAATAAGATAGTTCAGTTGAATGTTATAATTAAATAAATAAAAAATAAGATCACCTTGACTTGACGAGGTCTGCTCATGCTACCACAGACTCGCTTTTTAGGAGTAAATAAATTTTTCATACAGTCAAGACCCTTTTCTATGCTTCCGAAAACCTTTTTTGCTGAAGAACCTACTGCATGTCTCGGAGGTCTACGTTTAGGAGTAACATTTGCTGTTGGAGATTCAAATGAAACAGCTCTAAAAAGAAACAAAAATGGATTTTATCGAACCAATTTTTTAACAAAAGTATTTGCGGGAAAAAAGCATAACAAAAGACTTTTCAGAAATATCTGAAAAAAGAGCTAGATATTTTGATTTATTAAAAGCATATCTTCCTTTAACTGAATAATGGACAGCGATCCTCAGATTATTTATAAAATAACTATTGAAGTCTCATTTAAGAGATTATTAGGACTATCCATGAAAAAAATAGTGAAGCGTTTAAAAATCATTTTAGTTTTAAAAAATTACATAAAGCGTTCAAAATGTAAACCTTTATCAGTTTTTATTTTCACTTTTAATTAAATATGCTAATGTAAAAATTTAAAGTAAAGTCATAACTTTTCCCTTTTTTCTTCTCCTTTGAGAACTGTACAATCTTGGCAAGAAAAATCCTAAAAGTAGAGCAATTATTGCTCATTTTTTAAAAATAAGAAAAAAATCTTTAAACTTTTTGCCAAAGAAAACTGCCTTTATTGCTAAGGTGATGACACTAACGATCATTTCCTCTTGGAACGTCTCTTATTCCTAATTACTTGTAAAAACCTCTGTCAATCCTTTCCTCTTTAGAACCTAGCATTCAGCAGTATCATGAACTTCTCCCTCATTTCTCACAACGAACTCCAATTCATCTGGAAATTCTTCCATGCTACAACTTTCTGTGGTTAACCTAGCCTCATTCATGGAAATACAAAACTATAAGCTTATGCAAGGAGATGGTCAGACAATATATATTCTACAATACAATTCAATGCTGATTTTCGCATTCTAAACCATTAAGATTAGCAATTAATTCAATCATTAAAACAGAAGCCATGCATGGTGATAACTTTTCCTCTTTTTTTGTACACTGCACATCATTGACTATAGCACAAGGCCACAATGGCGAATGGCAAGATCCTAATAGGACTACAAACCTGCACTTTCAGCAAATTTGTGATTCTAGGTATCCCCTTGTTACCAAGAGATGCCAATATTGTTAAGGTGACACCAACAATCACACTTTTATGGCAGGTCAGAACAATTAAAAAACAATTATTATTATTGTGCTTTTTTTTAGTAGTGATAAGCAAAGAATGAAAGTTTAAGTCCCGCTTTTATTGTAAGTAAAATAGGGAAGCAGTCCAACAATGCATAAAATTAAAGGACCTCAAACCTATTATTCAATGTCTATTATTATTCTGGTATTATTCACTAGTCCAAACTATGGATGCAAAGCAGTTTGGCCCATCACAAGATAACTGCACAAAATCACTTCTTTGTATATTCATGTTTTTTATAAACTTTAAGAAATCAGTAGATAACCAAAGGCTTTTATTTTAAGGTTTCTTAAATCATGAATCAAATAATATCAAAGATTACCTTTTCTCAGATACAAAAGCAGTTGAGCTTTCAGATGCATCTCCCACTTGATCAACAGCAGTATCTAATGAACCAGTATATGCAACTATCCTAGACTGTTGTGGTGCTAAATTAATTGAACAAAAAAAAAGTTAAAATTTTTCATTGACATATTTGGTTAATTAGCATTATAAATAAATTTACTAAATATCACATTGCCACAGAATACAACAAAACATTAGCCTGTAGCATCAAAAATAAATAAAATATTATTCATCTTTGACCGTTAAAAGAAAGACATTTTAAGGTACGTAATTTTCTATTTATCAATAGAAATGATTGGTTATGGTGGCTCAGGGAAAAAAGCGCCACTAAATGAGGTTTTCTATTTGTGTAACGCAAATGCGATTAAATTCCATCGAAACGTACTCCGTGAAGAAAAATTTCTCCCTATACTTGATCCAGGAGTTGCCTTATCTTCTAGTTTGTGATCGAAACTACAAGGCTAAAGAGTTGAACATTAATAGTCATAAACTCAAAATTGGGTTGGCTGTTCAGTTATAAAAAATATACAGTTAAAAAATATAAAAGATTTTATAGAATGAAGAGTTTTATCATAAAAGAGTAGGAACTTGACATACAACCCTAAACTTAAATATGATCAAATAGTACTTATGAGAATTTAAATTCAAGTTCATCTTAAATAGGTAAACTTTCATACTCTTCCATCTTACTTATGTGATACACAATAAGAATAAAACTAATGCAGGTGAAGTAATATGAAACAAACTAATACATTGAAGATAAATGTTTAAAAATTAAGAGTCACTGAATGAAAACAATAACAATAAAAAGAAAAATTGACTCAATAAAGAAAATTTAGTTTTTGTCATAGGAAAAGAAATATGAGCAACAATTTTAAGCTGATATTTAATTTAAAAACAGAAATAAAATAAGATACTCTACCAAACTTATCAAGCTTGTTCCCTTTGGGTGTTGACTTTTTACTCTTTTTTGGTGATGGAATTAATGGTAATATGAAATTTTCTTTGTCTTCAACTAAATTTTTATACTTTGCCTGAGCAGGTGAGTGAGTTTTAGGACTACCATTCAGATTTTTCGGACTTCCTAAAATTAGTAGCTCAGAATTTGTTAAGCTGTCCATGGATAGCCTCGTGATGATTGGAGAAGTATCGAAAGATTCAAGCAAATTAGTGTTAGCCTAAGAAATAATAATGACAGAAATTATAAAAGTGCAACATTGTTAGTTTAGATACAGAGTTATTTAAACACAATGATGAGAAAAATTAACAAGACGACTTGGTAGCAATTCAACAATAATTTATTTTGAAATGATGCTTTGTAAAGGAATATTTACAAATGGTCGTGAAGAAAAACAGATGTCTGCTAAGGCACAGAATTTCCCTAGAAAACTCACTACATTACAAAAGTAAACAAGCTAGAACACAGCAGCTTGACATAGAAAAACAATAATATGAACACTAGCAATGATATAATATCAAAAGTATTTATAATTAATACAGTTATGTAATGAACTGATTTTGCAATACCCTCTTAAATAACTTTAGCACATCATTAAAATTAAGAAACAGTAGCATTTACTTGCACCCCTTCTCCTCAATTAACACTTAATGAGTAATACAAGAGGAGGTATGTTACTTCCTCTAAAAAGATGACATAACCTTGAACTTTAATTTTACATTATGATGAGTTAGGGAAAAGTGTAACAGGGGAACATTTTTTTCTGCGCTGAAAAATTACACACCATAACTTCATTTCTGCCTCTCAACTAAGATTTTTGCAGCATTTGACATGTTATAGTGAGTAAGGAGAATCTCTGATCATTATGAATTAAATATAGGGCCCTCATAGAATGTATGTTTAAATTATTTACATGTCATGGAAATCAAAAATTTTTAACCACCTGGGTATTACTGGATGATTAACAGGTGATTTTCCAGCACCAAGAAACCTGTCTTCTCCATATTATTCAATGAGTGAGTAATGTGTAATACAGAAATTTCCTCCTATAATTGGAGAATTAAATTTGCAAAACCAAGAATGATATCTTTCTTTTTTTACATTAGTGTCTGTTGAACAATATTTTGCAAAATATTTACAATGCATACTCATTGAATACAGGGGGAAAAGATTTGAGAATTATAGTGCATGATTCATCATGACAACATATTAAGGCAAAACATGGCAGAAAGAACCAAGTGCATGTAAAAGGAAATTTGGAATCTATTACGTAACAAAGTTACCAAACATAGAAGACTCTACACCTAAAAAATTAGATTTTAATATAAGACACCCACCTTAGTTTCTTTAAGAGGTGTTCTCCCTTGAATGAGGGAAAAGGGTTTGCCAGACTTTTTTTTCAATAATAGTAAATTATATGTTGCTGTCAGGTAGTCAAATTTTTTCTGAAAAAGAAGATTAGAAGAAACAAGTGAATTTCAAAACTAGACAAGTTTGATAAAAATAGAAAACAGGAGCAATTAGCATAAGAAAGCAGTAATTATGTAGACATGCACTAAAATAATACATAAATATTTTAACTCATGAAAAAAGATGCTGATAATCGGAAGTAACTGTGACTTAAAATTTTTTAATGGAAAGTTCAGCAAAACCTCGGTACATAATCAGGGGTCTGTCCAGGCCGAATTTACTACCGTTTAGCGGTACCTTCACAAATTCAATTCTAGGAAAAACGGTATTTTCGCAAATTCAACTTCAGGAAAAACGGTAATTTAACAATACTTTTTCTTAAAATTTTATTTTTGTATCCTTAAGAAAAGATAAATCTATATTTTTACTATGTTTTTGTGTTGATTTTTTAATATAACTTTATAAGTTTTCACAAATTATGTCTAAATTTTCACAAATTAGGTACCTCTCAGAAAAACCTAGACAGACCCCTGATAATTAAACACTAGAGAGTAGGGATCAAAGCAATTTACCTATCAAATGAATTTTAGTTAAATTAGAGTAATACCCAAGCCAAATTATTAAATGAAATTAAAAGTGTTTTAATGAGTTATCTTTTATTGTTATTTAATCAAAAGTAAAGGCGTGAGCTTTAGTTCTTATTTTCTACATTTCAACCTGCATTGAACACCTGGCATAATTCTGAGTTTATGGCTATCAACGTTCCAACTCTGTAGCCTTACTATTTTAAAACCAACCCATAAGACAAGAGAAGAAGTCCAAGCAATGTGACAGACTAACCTTTATGAAGGGCTTTTCAATGGAGCCAACCTTTATTCCTGCTACACCAAGAGAAAAACCTCCCACAGTTAGCCCAATGGCAAGGGGATTCAAACCCATGATCCTCCTACCACTGAGGATATCTTACATCAGCACTGTGCTCGGTGTGAGCCAGCAACAGAATTCGTATCGACCAGCCATCGCTGAGATTTGCCAGCCATTGCGTAGGCTCTATCTCCTGAGCCAACATGGCTCTCTGTACTATGCTTGTGACTTAACTTACTTTGGGAGTTAAGGATACACTACTTGTAGCAAAAAAGACATTATTATTGACATATTAAGGGTCTACACATGAGAGAAGCAGCACTTGGATGAAAATTTATTAATACCTCTTCTATGTTTTTTTTCTCATTGTTGATTTTTTTTCTAGTATATAATATTTTAAATTATTAAAAGCTTTCTAAATTTTTTCTTAACTTTTACTCAGAACCATTTATATTACAGCCTCGCCCATGTTTTTCCCCCACTTTCTAAAATTTTTTCTCAGTGCCATATCTTTGATTATTAAAAGCTTTTTGAAATTGATATTTATTTTTCAATGCTCTAGAAATTGCAATGGAAACATTCTTAATGCCAAATAAATTTCCAGGGGGCCGGGATAGCCTGGTTGGTAGGGCACGGAGCCCATGTCCAAGAGGTCATGGGTTCAATCTCCGCCAGCCGAAGTCTCCCCATGTAGTAAATGGTGACTGATGCACATTAAATCTGTTGAGTCACAAAGTCCTCCATGTTCCCATAACAAATCATACCTCTGGGGATACCGACCCAAGAGTTTTCTTGTTTTCCGGATTGGTCAAAAATTACAAGGTTACGGATTTGAACATAAGTAGTCGCAAACCCAAAAACTGGGTTGGCTGTTCAACGACGGATATAAAATAAATTTCCAATAGTTATTGAAAAGTTCTTCATTAAACACAAGTAATGCTTGTATTAAGACAAACCATTTAACAATGAACAAACCGTTTATCAAAAATTTCCTAGTAAAATGCTTGATTACCTTAAATTAGGTTAACTATCTATTTATATATTACAGTAACAATTTAATATTCTTAGTATTCCTTAAACAAAAGTATGAAAAATATTTTATGATAAAACCATAACACTCAACTTTTAAACTTTGTTATTTGAAAAATTCCTATTCAGATATTTGTGGTCCATAGAATATAGTAAAAATTTAAAACAAATGGATGTTCAAATGGCAGAAAAAACTTTTGTTTAAGTAGATTGTTTGCTTAGAAGAAAGTCTCCAAACTCTCTAAAAATTCTTGCGTGTATTGCAATTTTTTTAAAATCAAAATTTTGACAGAAAAATAAACAAAAATTATAACAGAACTAATTAACAAAAATTATAACTAATTTCTCTGAAAAGGTTTCTTGTTGTTGTGAGTTTGGAATTCTGTTTTATACTTGGATACTCTTTTATGCATTGAAATTTGCTAAAGTTACACTGAAAAGCCTTTTTAGTATAAATAATAAAATATAATAATTGATTTTATAGACTTAAAAACAAAATTAAATTAATCACAGCATTAAATGGCACTGTGCACAAATATAAGATAACTGCAGTGGCAGTTACAAATATAATGTATGAATTAAAATTAAATTCAGTGTAGAAATAAATAAATCAAGATTACACTCTAAATAAATCTTCAGGAAAAGTTATATTTGGTTTTAAAATTTACCTTATTCAAGGCTGCTTCAACAGACCTCATTGAATATCTGTGATACACAGCTAATTCAGCTAAACACTCAGGATCATATTCAGCATCCTGAAAAGAAAGTAAAAAACACTTAGCAATCCTTTGGATAAATTCAAGGAGGAAAAAAATGTTTAAAAAAATTCTGAAAAAATACCATTTTGTCAGTTTAAACTTCTATGAAAATTATTATGAATAATATTTTCGAATTATTCTTTTTGTGTGACAAGAATTTTAGAGGATTTACACGAGTATCAATCAAAGAGCTAGAATAATTTTCCAACAACTAACTCCAGAGGTGGTGTTTTGCATAACTTAAAATTGACTATTACAATGAGACTATAAAAAAGTTAAGCATAAATAAATAACACTCAGTTCATAATGATACAACGAAAAATTGAAACATGGCTTGTTTAAATTTGGGCATACATTTATTAAACTTTATTTCTGTCATACTATTTCACAATCTTTCTTCATTTTTCAGGCAACTTCAAAATTCCTTCAAAAACTGCTCATATTTTTAAACGAAAAAGTTTCCAACATGATATTTTATATGTTAAAGGGAAATGTGTTAAGGGGGGAAAAACAATGAATGGAAATAAAAAATAAATTTAAAAAAAGCAGGTTGAATGTGTAAACTACAAGAAGATGACTAAAACAAAAAGAGTTGGTACTAAACATCTTGAGATGAACAACAGTTTATACGAATAATATATATTTACAAAACACATTTAAAGAAAAAAATACTGGCAGTTGCATATTTTGACCTAAATTACTACTTGATTCTTCATAATAATCTCTGCTTGATTTAGCACATAAATTGTTGCCATTTAGCAACATTTACTTCTTCTTCTTCTTCTTGCTTGAGCTTGTCAGATATGTGGCACCTCTGCACATGTTGCATTTTGTACCATGCTCCAAGCCCAATTTTTTCCTAGTTCCATTGTCTTGGGTCGCCTACATTATTTATATAGTCTGACAGTCCCTTAATGGAATTAAGGTGAAGCTCTTTAGGATATGGATTGCCTAAGGTAGTGAGGCGCGTAAGGGCGAGGGCATCACATTCGTATAGGATGTGATGTGCTGATTCTACCGCTTCAAGGCATTTCCGACATATTGGTTCTTGTTCGAAAAGTCCCAATCTATGTAGATGTTTCCTGAAATGATAATGCCCAGTGATGAAGCTTACAATTGTTTGAATCTTCAATCTTGGGAGCCTAAGAATTTCAGAAGCAATTTTTGCAGAAGGGCTGCTGATCATGCTTTTAGCATGTTTTTGTCCAGGAGAATTGCGCCAAACTTTGTTCATCTCCTGTTTTTCCCATTTTAGGACAGCCTTCTTTGTAGTCTTCATATTGATTCCACAGAAGGGTTCCGTTCCTATTGGATTGAAAGAGGATCCCTGTTTTGCGAGTTCATCAGCTCTTTCATTACCATCAATTCCCATATGCCCTGGTACCCAAATAAGAATGATTTTATTCCTTTTTGCCAGTACATTTACTTAAGAAAATTAATTCATGTGAGTTTTAAGACATGCGCACGAAAGAATGTTTCGTCTGTCCATTAAAAAATCAAAATGGTAATATTATTAGGATTAAAAACAACATTTACTTTTCCAATACAAAATTAAAATTCTTATAGCTTTAAAAGGCAATGAGATGAAAAATGTTCATGAAAGAAAAAAAGAGGGAAGGGAGAAAAATTACCTCTTTTCTCCTCCAAATTATTGGACTACAATTTTCTTTCATTAACCATGGGTGTATCTTAAGATGATCTATTGATATTCTTTTGGCAGGATCAACTTGCAACATATCTGATAGAATGGCTTTACTTTCAGATGATAACCAGGGTGGGCAGAAATATTTTCCTCTCTGCAAAAAAATAGAAACTCTTTTTATGGAAGAAAATATATTTTTCTAATGAAAAACTAACATTTTGCTTTCCTAAAAAATTGTAAATTCAATAAAAATATTGAAAAATCAAATCTGCATAATGCGTGAAAACACTCAGAAATACAAAAGTATTCTTAAAATAAAAATTAGAAAATATCAATTACACTGCATTAAATCAGAACAGTATTATTTTAAATAGGTGCTGTACTATGCTAAACCATTACCGTTTTATGTTAAATCCTCAATTAATTAAATCAGCTGTAAAAAAATGCATAACTGATTACTCTGTAGACAACTCTAGAATGAAATTATTGCTAGATTATTGAATGTTTTACTTCCTCCTAAAACAATTTCAATTTTATACTATGATAATATGTGTTGAGACTAATAACCATTCTAGGCTAAATTTTTTGTGATTTAATTCAGCTTCAGAATTTTATAATTTTTTTTCATCATTCATACATTTTTTATTTGTTAAACAAAAACTGTAAAAATATCACCTCACTGATAATTAGGATACTATTTTAAAGCAATAACATTCACACACCTGAATCTTCTTGTACAATTTTGTGACATTTTCATCATCAAAAGGTAGAAAGCCACAAAGGAGAGCATATAATAACACTCCCATACTCCACACATCAACCTAAAAGAAACAAAAAAAATTTAATTACTCAGAATTTCTTTAAATTTTTATTCAGAAAAAATGAAATGCAGGTTTATGAAGCAGTATGTAGGATTATTATTTAATTTAATGTAGTCAAGCAAACATTTTACTATAAGACATCAGGTTGAGATATTCCATCAATACTAGAATGTGAGTAAGTAAAGTCAGTGATTATATTGTTACTTAAATTCCACAAGAACAATCTAAGAATAATTCTTACATTCATAAGATGGCTCGTAAAACAATGTACCACAAGGAAAAAAACTTTCAGATTGCTCTGGAAGATAATGCATATTGTCATTATTGTATTTATTTGTATCTTCCTCGTTTGTATATTTTTTCATAATGTATTCTGTATTGTTCATGCATATCTTTATCATTTTTTAAATAACTTCATTGTTTACAGGATCATATTTAACCATTATTAACCAATTGATGGATAAAAGTCCTTTTCAAATAACAGTTTTTGCATTCTAATTCATTTCTGCTGGTATCTTATTTTTATAAGACCACCTTATTGGCTTTTACTTGACGTCACAATTACAGCAGCGCAAGATGTTGTAAGTCCAGCAATTATCAGTTCTTCAAGTGATATAGCTAGTCTATTGCCCTTTTAGATGTTAAATTTTGATAACTCCTTGATAATAGTTGTAGAATGTACTAAATGTTTCCCACATAGGGAATTTTAGGGACTTTTATAGTAATCAAAATAGAAAAACTGCAATATTTTCCAATTATGATTAACATTAAACATACTTGAAATGTTATGTACAATGTTTACTTATAATTTCAAATATTAATAGGCATTTAATTCATCAAAGATAGTAAAAAGAATTTTTTTTAAATTAATTTAAGTTAAGAGAGTTCTGAATAAAAATAAACTGAACATTTTAGAACAATAAATGTTTTGAATTGATTTCTATAAATGAGGTTTGCTTTATTATGTATTAGTAATGCTTATTAAATTATTCAAGCGAGCAATCAATAATCTGTACAAAAATTCTATTTCAATAGGGATTTTTTTAGAAAACTGCTCAATTTCGAGAAACATTCTAAAATGCCAGGTTAATTCCAATAATGCCAATTATTAAATACAAATAATTAAATGCCAATTATTAACTATTAAATTAAATGCCAGGTAAATGCAAAAGTTTCAAAAAACCAGGAAAATTTTAATTAAACCAGTAGACCAGGAGAAATTGGCAAAACCCAGTATTCTACTGGAAATTCCAGTAGAGTTGGCAGCTATGCAAACTTATCTACACTGATGCCATGAATTAATCAATAACTTCTTGATTAGGAAAGTGTGATTCAGTAGTTAGCTAGAAATTCCACACAATCGCTGTGGGTAAAGCCTTTCAACGTTCTAAAAGAGATTCAAGTATTTTGTAGCTTTAACATGAACAGATTTTGCTTTAAGCATCAAATGTTAGAAACAACACAAAATAATAAGTCACAGTAACTAAATTTTAAAATTTTTACAATTCAATAATTAATATTTTTTATATGAACATATAATGAATTTTTTATTTTATAAGCATTAAAAAAATCATTTGTATCCATTATCTGTATTTATTTTGCAATCTGTATTTGTATTCATTAGCAATGAAGCATATAAGCTCAAAAGTTCTTAATATTGTAATTAAAAAATTTTTAAACTTCATGTTTTCAGTTTCATAAAAAATAAAAATTACTTCAAAATATATTTTGTTCATTCTAACTAAATTAACTGTTAAACAAAATAAGGAACAAAATATGTTTTTTTTATCTGTTCTAAATACTATTAAGAGTATTGCTTTCAACTGTGATTTTCCACTTTCGTATAACAGACAATATTAATATTTTATCTACATAATTGTATTTTGGTCTCAAATTAAGTATATGAACAAAGAATAAAATTAATGAGAAATTTAACTAAACAGTTATGTGCAAATTTTTCTAAAACTTATATTTAAATGAAGCTTTTTCTATTACTAGAATAAACTTCAACATTATACAACCTCAAGATTAAAAAAAGTAACTAGTATTTGAAAGCTTTTTGAAATAATTATGCTACAATTTAAGCAGATCTGCATTTTTTTCAATAAAAGAAATATTTAAACAGTGTTAAAGCTTTCTAAAAAGAATGTTAACTAAACTTGCAACAACAAAAAACAATTGTTTAAAATATTAATTTAAAGGTTATTTCACAATATATATATATATANATGCTATACTTTGTGGTGCATGAGGAGTTTTAAGTCGTTTAAATAAAAATAAAATAAAAAAGTGATATGGCTAGTCTATTGCCATTTCAGATGTTAAATTTTGAAGCATCATGAACAGCAGATATAAAAACAACATTATAAAAAAAGTCGCAAATTTCAAAAGTAAATTAACCTGATTTAAAAATAAAAAAAATTTAAAACAGTGAACAGAATAAAGTAGATTTTTTTAATGAAAACTCTTATGAAGTAAATCAAATCTTATCAGCTGTTGTTTTTTTTTTTTTCAAACACTACTAACATTCTGCTCCATTAATATCCATAATTTATTCTTTTCCCTAAAGTTTGTTTTCCTTCATCGCCTTTGTCTTTTCATCAACTCATATTAACATGCTTATTGAGACAAAATAAATATTTTACTATCAGAAAAGCAGCAGAAAGAAATAAAATAAAAAAAACTTTTTTTCTTTAATTTACTAAGATTTTTTTTTCTTAACCGATTTGGAGTACGAAAATGAAAAAAATATTTAAAAAGGAAAAGACGTTTGCTTATTTTGATTATTAAAAAGTATGCAGAAAATAGATGCTTCCAGCAAATGGATGTCAGGATAAAGGACTTTGTACTATAGGGAAAATTATGGTAATACTGGGTAGCTAAGAGTTGAAGGCCTGTTGAAGCTAAACTATTCAACCTGAAAACTGCCAACCTTAATCAAAATATTCATTGGTTAATTGCGTACAATGCGACGTTCTTGAAAAGTCAATGATGAAACATTTTTATAAATGATTTCTTTTTTCTAGAAAAAATCAAATTGCTCGGTAGTATCTAACTAGTGGGGTAAAACGTGGTAAACATGTTAACTTTATGGAAAATTTAGAAATACAAGAATTTCAGTGAAAATGTAGCAGACATTTCTATTTCGTAACTATTTAGAAAATTATGTTATCAAGGCTGTGCTAAAGAGTAGGGACAGGGACAATTGTCCTGGGGCGTGGGACTGCTAAAGCCTCGACCAACATTCCTTATAAATATAGGGCTAGTATTAACTATTTCTTTTTTTTTTTTTAAGAAAATTGCTGAGATTTTCTTTATATCTACATAAAAACTGAAATTTTTTTTATAAAGAATATAAAAATATTTTGAAAAATATGAAAAAATGGCTTTTGTGGCTCCGAATATGAGGCTTGCAATATTTTGTTCCGGGACCTGTAAAACCTTTGTTCAGCCATGGATATAGTTGTCTTCTTCCGCTGCACTACAGCTTTCATGGGTCTAGTTTAGACACGTAAAGGAAGTATCCAAACCTTATCCTGAGAGCAGAGGTTATTGAAACAAAATAGAACAGTGTGTTATTAGACGAAATGGTAAGGATATGAATCTTTAGTAAATGTATAATAAGCTGGAGTAAAAATAATTTTTATAACTCTAATGACCAATAAATAAGGATAGCTTAAAAACAAAAGAACATTAGAGAGTTGACATAGTGTAACAAACTCATAGCTGCCAACACAAATAGGAAAAAATCCAGCAGATTTTACGAAATAACATAAACTCCATGATAATTTCTGTATAATGTACTAAATGTTTTACACATAAGGAATTTTAGGGACTTATATAGTCATCAAAATTGAAAAACTGCAATATTTTCCAATTATGACTGACATTAAACATACTTGAAATGCTATGTACTTTGTTTACTTATAATTTCAAATATTAATAGGCATTTAATTCATCAAAGATAGTAAAAGATTTTTTTTAATTAATTTAAAAAGAGAGTTCTGAATAAAAATAAACTAAACATTTTAGAACAAAAAAAAAAATGTTTTGAATTGATTTCTATGTATGAGGTTTGCTTTATTATGTATAAGTAATGCTTACTTAATTCTTCAAGCAAGCAAGCAATAATCTGTACAAAAATTTTATTTCAATAGGGATTTTTTTAGAAAACTTACTCAATTTCAGGGAATATTCTAAAATGCCAGGTTAATTCCAATAATGCTAATTATTAAATGCAAATTATTAATTATTAAATTAAATACCAGGTAAATGCAAAAGTTTTCTAAAAACCAGGAGAATTTTAATTAAACCAGTAGACCAGGAGAAATGGGCAAAACCCAGTTTTCTACTGGAAATTCCAGTAGAGTTGGCAGCTATGCAAACTTATCTACACTGATGCCATGAATTAATCAATAACTTCTTGATTAGGAAAGTGTGATTCAGTGGTTGACTAGAAATTCCACACAATTGCTGTGGGTAAAGCCTTTCAACGGTCCAAAACAGATTCAAGTATTTTGTAGCTTTAATATAAATAAACTTTGTTTTAAGCATCAAATGTTAGAAACAACACAAAATAAATCACAGTAACTAAATTTAAAAATTTCTGCAATTCAACAATTAATATTTTTTATATGAACATATGATGATTTCTTTAATAAGCAATAAAAAAATCCTTCGTATGCATTCATTAGCAATAATAGCTGAGAAGTTCTAAAATTAGTAATTAAAAATTTTTTAAACTTTATATTTTAAGTTTCATAAAATATACTTCAAAATATATTTTGTTCATTCCAACTAAATTAACTGTTAAACAAAATAGGGAACAAAAAATAATTTTTTTTAATTTGTTCTAAATACTATAAAGAGTATTGTTTTCAATTTTGGTCTTTCACTTTCTTATAACCGACAATATTAATATTTTATCTACATATTCTGTATTTTGGTCTCAAATTAATTATATGAACAAAGAATAAAATTAATGAGAAACTTAACTAAACAGTTATGTGCAAATTTTTCTAAAACTTATATTTAAACGACGTTTTTTTATTACTAGAATAATCCTCCAACATTATACACCCTCAAAATCAAAAAAAGTGACAAGTATTTGAAAGATTTTTGAAATAATTGTGCTACAATTTAAGCAGTTGTTAAAGCTTTCTAAAAAGAATGTAAACATTATAACTAAAATTGCAACAACAAAAAACAAATTTTTTAAAATATTAAATATATATACAGTACAGAACCCGTTATCCGGAACCCAGAAAACCGGAAAACCAAAAAACCGGAACGATATTCGATACATTTTCTCGCCATTTTTTTAAAAAACAATTTTTTTTCCTCATAAGATTTTACGATTTTTTTTCTCTTTTTTTAAAGATGTTTACCTTACCAACATTTTGGAAATAATCATTAGTGTATTACTTCATCGTTTTTTCTTACTTTTAAGATTATTTCCAATTTTTTTTTTTTTNTACATAGAGACATAATGATATTTAATATTTCACTGCAAAAAGTTATGTTCATTACTTTATTTCCATTATAATAGTCTCCAATAATAAGTTCCGGAGCAGCATAGGCAGGACTACCACAACAAGTCTCCAAGTTCTGTTGCATTCCACTCTGCAATCATGGAAAATTTCAGTTAATTTACAAAAATTTACATATACAGTAAAACTTTATGCTATGGACACTCCTACATTATAAACATATTTTTAATCCCCCATTAATATTCTGTAAATAAACCATTATGCACCTTCTTTGCAAAGGGGACATATAGTAGTATTTTCTAAATTTTACTGTTGTATTTTTAGTAATAGTATTGTAATTAGTATTGTAAATAGTATTTTTCTAAATTTTTAAAAAAATATCATTATGCTTTAAATTTTAAGGGAAAAAAATTCAATGTTAATTGCTTGCCTTATCCACTACTAAAATTCCTTTCTACTTCTAATCAATTTGGTGACTATATAAGTACTCTTCCAGCAGGGGTGATGGTAAGCCCATGTCGAAATTCTGGAAAATTTCTTGAGTAAAAAAAGAAAGGAAAAAAAAACAGTTTAAATTTTTTTAAAAATTTAGCAAGGTTTTTTCCTTTTTTCTCAATCTTTCTTAGTCTACATAAAATATATTTAAAATTTTACACATACTTATACTATTTACACATACCTATGATAACCTGGAGAAGTAATTGAAATTTGCAAATATGTCTTTCTTTGAGTTTATGATAACTATTTACTGAGAAAAAATTAATATTAATCTTGAATATAAAGCTTATAAAGTATCTGGCTCTCCCTCACAAACAAATAAAATAAACTGTGTTTTTTAAGTTCAATCTTTGAAAATTTGATTTCCGGAAATTTTTGTGATCAATGATTTTTTGAAACGTCTGAACCTTCGATCTCCGGAAACTTTCGGATCGCAATTAGCCAAACATCCTGATTTTTTCCAGAGCACAATCAGCCCTGTTCCAGTAAACCAGTGTTTCCCAAACTTATGACTTTTGCGTACCCTTTCTAAATTTATCATAACGCTGAGTACCACCAATAAAAAAATGAATGAATTTTTTACAATAAAAAATTGCACCAAAGTTAAAAATCAAAACTGGCTGTTAACACCACTAATTATTAACTGTTAACTCTGCAAAAAATAGCCAATAGAAAAATACGTAATCTTAAATTTTCTTGCCTAGCTTTGTTTTCAAATAAAATTTTTTGAAATTTTCGTTTGTTGCAAGATATTTCGCATAAGAACACGTACCCCCGCTAAACTGTTCCCGTACCCCTGGGGGTACGCGTACCACACTTTGGGAAACACTGCAGTAAACGAACAGCTCACAGAGCAGACAATTTTTTAGGTCCCAAGAGTGTTCATTTAATGGAGGTTTCCCAATAAAAATATCATAAAATGTTCATAAATTCTAATAATTTTCTGTAAATATATTACAAATTTTACTGTTGAAAAAATTTAGTGCTTAGAATACTAATGTTTATAATAAAAATGATTTTATTTGCAGTACGTGTGCAGACCTTTGTTACTCAACAAGGTTGTGCCCTCCTATATTAAATCTTAAAAAAGTAAGCTGATATTTTCCTAAAAAAATATATATTTGAACAACTTATAACATATTCCTGAATACATTCTTACTTTTGGACGTGCACAAAGACCAAAATCTATCAGTTTCAGGTTCTGTTCAGCATCAAGCAACAAATTTTCCTGTAAAAATAAATAGATCCTGATTATAAATAATGTGATTTTAAATCTTGCTTTGATTTAAAGTTTATTTAAAAATTTCTAAATTCCATAGAGAATAAATATAAATAGAATATTGTGAAATTTAAAGAGTTAAAAGTAAGAGCCTCAACAAAAGTCATATTCCTATTCACAACTCGAATTACAAAATGATAAAAAGTAGACTAAAATTTCAGAAAATTTTAACTGTTTAAAATTCTGGAAAACGATTGTAAGTTCCTTCCATTTAAGCTAGATTAGTCTCGTGTAAAAGCAATCTATTAGACACCAAACAACCCAGAAGAATGAATTTAAAAAAGTCAGTAAGTTATTTAATCTGCTCAAATTAAATTTTAATTTTTACACTGAAAAGCTAAAACACAGCTTGTCACTCCCCACCCTGGCGAGTATTAGCTACATAAAAAGCATTAATATTTTTTGTCAAACAATATATTTATAGTGATCAAGTAGCTTCCAGTGTTTTGAAATTGTTTAAACTTAAGCATTTGAAATGACTTTATGAAACCAAAATTTCACGTGGTAATATATTGACAAGAATAAGCTCTATCCATAATCAACACAGAGCATATACAATTTTTAGAACAGCCTAAAAAGACATAAAATGAAAAGGCACATTAAATAAATATTGAATGTATCAGATTCAATATTAAAAACTTAAGATTTTACAAAAACTATACTTACTGGTTTTAAATCTCTATGAGCATAGCCTTTCTCATGTATATAGGCAACAGCAGAGATAATTTGTCGGAAAAAAGTACGAGCTTCCTTTTCGGTAACACGATCTCTCTGAATGATGTAATCAAATAGCTCTCCTCCAGGACAGTACTAGCATAATACAAATATTTATTCACAACCTTAATTTTCAGGGTACGAAAAAAATTTAATTTGCTTGATAAAAATCTTTTTTTTTTTAATAAATAACTTCATAAGAGTTTTTCATGTAATTAGCATAAGAGAATAGATTTAAAAATGTTAAATGTAATTGAAATATTTCTTTTAAATATTCATTCAATAGAACTATTTAAATATTACATTATAAAACTAACTTTCTCGTAATTTATGATCTAGTAAATTATTCTGGTTAATATGAATCATTCTTCAATTTATGAGAATACATATACATATTTATTGATTTACTATTTTTCCTAAGTTTAAAATTAACATATTAAAAAAATAATTAATAAATAATTTCTGAAGGAAAATTATAAAGACAACTGTAGACAAAACAAAGGAAAGACAGAAAAAGCAATAACAATGAGCAAATGAAAAAAGTTCGTTCTGTGATTCAGGTCAAAAATTACAATCTGTGGATGAATGAACCGATGTATGAATGGGACCACCCTATAAACGGGTGTGACGTATGGGTGTGGCAGAAGTAGAATTTTCGGCCATAGGTGGCGCCACTGGAAAACAAGAACAATCGCACCCCTCTGCCGTAACAGGCATACGAGAGAGAGAAATAAAAAAAGTTAGTCTACAGTAATATAGAATCTAATCTTAATGGTACAATAGAATCTAGTTTCTGTCTAGACTCAGTAAATTTCCCAAAGAGATCCAGCTTTGAATGTAGGGCAACGACTCAAGTAAAGGGCATTCAGCATCTATGTTACACAATTTGCAAATTTGGCCTAGAGCAATATATATCTGATACATAATTCTTTAATAGACAGCATGGAAAGTAGAAATATGAAAGACTGCAACGTTTTGGGTCATAGCAAGATAGTCACTTAGAAGTTAATTTTGGTCATTTAGAGGAAGTTAAAGTTGCAATAAGGTTTCTGTAGGTGAACCTGTGGAAGAATCATTAGATGGTCGTCTGTGGAAGAATCAAGATGGTCATCTGCGGCAACACACACATCGCTTTCACTAGGGGAGTTAACACTCATTATCGATAACTTGCAATCTTGAGACAAGGTTGCGTGTGAAACTGTTCGAATGCAATTTAGATTAAAAAAATATGTTAATAAAATTAGTCAAATTAAAAAACTAGAAAGGATGTTTTTGACAACAAAAAATCTTTCTTCAGAAAAAGTTTATGTATGCTTTTGTAATATTGATTAAAAATTATGAAAACTTCAAAGAAGAAACTATCAAATACTTCAGATAATACTATAATATTAACATATTTAGAAAGTAATTAAGGAAAGGATTCATAACCAATTTTTAAAAAAGTTAATGTGACTTAAATCAAGATTTTAGTTAAGTTAATATAACCTAAATAACTGGAATTAAATTCTTATAAGAACTAAAACCAGAAATATTCACATTTATATAATAAGAAGCATACATACATAAAACATGAAATGCATATTACAACATTAAGGAGCCATTTGAAACAAATAAAAAGACAAATTACTAAAAATAAAGATTTAAATTAACCAAAACTTTATCTATACTACCAATGATAAAGATCAAAAATTACTTTAAAAAAATTGTAACCCAAACTTTGCTTCCACTTTTCAGCAACGGAAAACGTCAAATTGTTTTCATATAAAAACTTTACCAAATACTAAAACATGAATTTAGTTGAACCAACAAAAAAAAAAGTATGAAAATAAAACTAAGTACAATTATATTACCTCCAAAACAAGAAAAAACTTGTTTTCGGTCTCAATAACTTGATACAATTTACAAATATTTGGATGATTAAGAATTTTTAAAGCTTCAATTTCCAGTTGTACTCTAGGAAGATCATCCTATGAAGAAAAAAAAAATTTTTTTAACAATGACTATTATAATATTTGACATGTAATGATTTTTTCATATGAAAAATGCTTACTCCAAGAGACTGTTTGTCCATGATTTTGATTGCAACTTTCTCACCAGTTAATACATGGGAAGCAAGTTTAACCTTAGCGAAACCACCTAAAGTTTAATTTAAAAAATTAAAGACATTTTCAAAATTATAAAGTAACATAACAAACATTAAGAGAATAATTTAAACATCAATAATAAAAAAATGCTCCATCTAAAGCAAGGATTGTGGATACAGGCTTTAACATATGCTTAGTTTTCTTCTATCAAAAATATTCATGTAATTAATAACATAAGGCTACAATTAGACTGTGTGGCTCAGCAGATGAATATGAAGTAGAAACCATCCCAGAGTGGGATCTCTCTGACGACATGACTAGCATCATTGTAGTTATAAATTCTAATCTGTAAATATATTTCTTGTTGTATTATGTATTATGTTTGTAATGTTCGTCATTGTGTGTTATATCACTGTGTTCATAAATTAGCTTGATATTTCTTACTCTTAATCTTTTCTACTGGAAGTAATTTAAAGTATTGTTTATAAAGAAAAATCTTTATATCTAAAGAATATATGAGGAGAGAAAATGCAAAATCTTATATTACATATTAAAAATAACTTTTGAATAGTGTAAACTTATGCAGAGTTATTCATTACAATATTGATGCCTATAATGCATCAATATTTTATGATCAACTAAATCACGACTTTATTACCAGATTATAAGTCGATCCCCCGGATTTTCAAGAATTTTTGAGGTTTTAAAAGTTGATTGATACACTGGGATATAAGCAATGTATTTTTAAGAATGATTGAATTAAATTCAAATAAAAGATGCAATTTCGTAAATAAAACAAATAATTCCATAAAACTTTGAAACTAGAAGAAATTTTTTCTCACTTTTCCTGATTACTAACTTTTATTCCGAATTTGAAATTTTTCCAAGTCAATATTTTTTTTTTTTAAAAAAACTTCCTCTCTACATTTATTTTGTATTTTTAAAAAAATCAATTCGAAATTTAGGAACTTTAATATTTTGCGTAAGCATTACTCATACCCATATTTCCCCCTTGTCAGCAAAAATAAATAAATTACAAACCTTCTTCTCCTTTTAGATACTTATGTAATGTTTAAATGGCTCCAAACAGTTAATCTGAACAGTAAAATCTGGATTAAAAAATGACATAAATATGGTTTTTTTACTAAAATAAATTTAATTGTTATCAAAATTTGATAACAATTACATTTGATTATCAAAATTTGATAATCAAATGTAACAGCAATTATAAACTTTAACAGACGAAACTTATAGAATGATACCCATTCAATTATATTTTTGATTCTCCATTTTTTAAACAGCTTCATACAATTTAAACAAACTTTCTTTGATCAGGTGATTATTCATTCCACTGTCCAGAAAAAGTCAAATCTGTTTTTATACCTAGAGACTATGAACCAGGGTTGGAGTTTTTGCCGGCAAAAAGGGTTTTTTGCCAGGACAGTGGCAAAAACCTGGTAAAAACCGGCAAAAACTGGTAAAAACCGGCAAAAACCAAATTATCTAAATTGCTGATTAAATGTTATTACAAAATACTTGAAACAAATTTAAATCAATCATAAGGAATAATAATTTTGATACATTACATGAAAAAATTATTTTTAACATATTAATAATTAATATAATGGTAATAATTTTTAAAAGATTGAAAGTTTGTGATCTCTTTTCATTTTAGAATCCTAAAATAAATGTTTTTTCACAAATAAATATTATTATTTGCATAATATTATTATTTATTATAAAAAATTATTATTTGTACAATAATTAACTACACATATTGATAGATATTTTATGTTTTAAATTATAGTTATATTAATTTAAAATAAGTTCATTTCATTGGAAAAAAAAGAATAATCACAAATTTTCCAATCAATAATGTTTTAAACTACTAAAATGATATATTATTACATTATCATTTAATTATGGAATAATAATTTTGTTAATTTTTTTGTAATTATTTATATTTATAGTATATATTTCAATTTTAGGAATAATTTTGTATCAAAAATGTGTTTTTGTCCTCTCATCTTGGAAAATATAGGTTTTTGCCACTTTTTGCCAATTTGCTTGGCAAAAACCTGTTTTTGCCAGGACGGTTTTTACCGGTATTTACCATGGTTTTTTCCACCTGTGGCAAAATCTTGCCAACCCTGCTATGAACTAGAAAAAAATCTACAACACACATACATTAAAAATGCCTAGAATGTTAAAATTGATTTTTCTAAAACATACTGATTTTTTTTCTTTCTAAAACATACCGATTTGTTTTAATATCTACAGAGCCCACAGAGTTAGAAAACTTTAAATCAATTTTTTTTTTTTTTATAAAACTAAGATGAAAAAAATTTATTTACTTTTTTAGTCAAATTGATTTGATTATTGATATGTTGTAATTTTTTTTTTTCATTCTTTTAAGTCTTATTTCATTGATAATGAAGGTTTCATCTAGAGAAATAATAAAACGAGGATATCATAACTTATTATTTGATGTTCAAATTAAAATAAATAAAACTAAACCTGTAAAGCTGCATTATGAAGTATAAATTTTAATTAATTGCATGTCAAATAATTTGCCTTTAATAAAACACACTACAATTATACCCATTTCATTTTAAATTTATTCAAATACAAGTATTTTTAAAACTCATTAAATATGTAGGTAGTGTACATAAATAATAAAATTTAATGACAATTTTTAGGGTGTTGAAAATTATTATGATTTCACGCAGTGGTTACTTAGAAATAAAAATTTTTTAACCACTTTGGGGGGGGGGGCTGGAAACATTATATTTTTGTATAATATTGCCTTTAAGTTATAAAGATATCATTAATATATTTTGTGAGAAAAATGCAAATTGAAACAAAAATATAAAAATGTAAATAATTTTTTTTTCCTTTATCTGATTTTTATTTTTACAAACTCGCTTGCAGAATATAGCCCTACAATCATGGACAGGAAGTTTACAAATTGTGCAGCAAATTTTCAAAGTTTTTCTTAATAAAACAAAAAACTTTCAATTTTTGAAGAAATCAACTCAAACCATTGTCTCTAAAACATATCTCTTGAATATTTTTTCACCTTCAAAAGCATTTAATTTTGCCCAAATTTAAAAGATTTGGCTGTTTTCAACTGCTTATTCATAAAAAAAAAAAAATCTCTTTCTTTGTAACTTTGTCACATTTGTAACTTTCATTTTCACATTTTTTTTTTCAATTTCTTTATTGAAAAAGTGTTAATATAATACACAGTGCATCAGTTCTTAAAAAAACAAACATTACTTTACATTGAAATTTTTAGTAGTCAAAAATTTTTTGACTACTTAATATCTGAGTCTACATAAAGCTGTTGTTTTAAAGTAACTTTGCTTGCTAATAGTATTCCATAGAAAAAAAAGCTGAAATTTGTTCAAAAACTATGTATGACAGCTGACAATCCTATTTGCAAGATGTTTAAGTAGGTGTAGAAAGAATTAAAATAAATTGTGATCTCCAATATAAATAATAAGTATTTATCTATTACATTCTTAAAATAATTATATTCCTTATTTCTCAGTTCTACAAACTGAGTTTAGAGCTACTTTGAGTTAGCTAATTTTGCCTTTAACTCCCCCTCCCGCAAATTTATTGTTCAATAAATCCCTAATTAATTGTATAAATACGAAACTTACCAGTGCCTATTGTTTGATGAAGTACATACTGCCCATCCAAAGCAGAGGTTGAACAAGGTTTAGAAGGCATTTTTATTTTGGACCCTAAAACTTAAGGAAAAAATAAAGAGTTCAATTTAGAAAATCATTCCAAACATTTAAATCTAAAATCACATGTCTTTAAAAACTAAGACAATCTCAAATATTTACGAGGAAATAATGAATTAATATTTATACCATTATAAGAAGGTATATAAACGTCAATTCTTTAATACCATTTAAAATGAAATATGTTTAGTACTGAAAGTGCAGCTTATCTAGTTAAAAGAGAACTTTATTTAAAAAGTTAAAATAACTACAACGATCTTATAGTAATTTTAACTTATTTTTTCCTCAACAGAAGTAAACCTCATAAGTTATTGAAAGTATTAACTATTAATAAAACTTATAAATCAGGTTTATTTTAAGAAAAGCAGAGTTCATAACTTGCGTTTCGTAAAAATATAATTTTACATCATTCTCAGTTAATAATGATAAAAATCTGTAGATTATTACCAACTAGCGTTTTCGTGAATGGATTTTTGATTATTGTTTTGTAAGACACAAACATTAAGCAAGAAAACCGTTAAAGGGATATTACCCGGAAAAATTTTAAAAACAAATATTTCTAGTAAAAATACTGACAAGTAAAAAGAAAGCTTATGAGCCTTAAGTTTTTTAAATCTATATATTTTACTTAAAACTATTATCAAATAAAATACGTTTAGTTACCAATTTAAGAGCTGCAGCTGCTATTGATCTTGAAAATAAAAAATAAACAAGAAAACTAACTTTGAAACAACCGCGGTAAGAAGTTGAGTTGCATGGGAAAAATTTTCTGTTAGTGCAGTTATATCTTGCGCGCAGATCAGTGTAACATTCTCACTGTATGAGTTTCGCACTTGAATGGCTATGGATGATGTTTTCTACACTAGAGAGCGCTGCAAGCTCTTGACTGCCTATACTTCCGGGTTACTGTTTTTGATGTGCTTTTAAGACTCCATGGCTTTTAAGCCATTTGGCTCATAACGTGATCATTGCGGTTTGAAACTCTCGAGTAGTATTTCTGGTCCACGTGTATTTCTTACTTGATTTTTTATTTGTGTATAAAAGAAGAATCGTCATTTTAAGACCTGCCATTTCAAGACGTTCCCCTCTGCAGAGGATCAAAATTGTGATGGCATGTCTTCAGATCATCCTCAGGGATGTTTCCCAGAACGTCGCCAATAGCCCATTGCGCAGCTCTAGTGCGACTAAAATGAACAGCAACAACTACAACAGCAATTTCAAGACGTAAGAATTATCATTTGGAAAAAAATCGTTATAAAATACTTCTTAACTCGTCAACAATACACCAACTTCGAAATTTAAACGTAAATGATAATTTGTAAAATAAACTTAATCCCGCTGCTCGAACACTATACTGACACGAACGCATAATAGTGCACGGCTTGCACAAACAGTGATAAGCAAGTAAAAAAGAGAAAAATCAGAGCTGCCAAAAAAGAGAGTACTGTCTAAATCCAGCAACCGTGGCACTTTTTTAACAATACATCTCTAAATAACTAAAATAAATTTTCACTTCAAACTGACCAGAATTACTTAATATCAATTATATTTTATGAAATGCAGCAGATTTGAGCTCAGAAATTAGATAATTTATTTCTTTAATTCAAAACGAAAATATCTGTTTGAAAATATTGCCTCACAGAATAAGCAGCTGTATACTTTTCAACTGCAAGTAGAGCAGGGCAAGAGCTTTTACATTTATATTGTAAACACCATCTATTCACACACTGGTTGAGATGTTTTCGCCAGCGAAAAAACGCTGTTGGTTGAAGATCTTTGAAATATGGTCTAACCCCCCCCCCCAGACTACGCTATCTGAAGAGAAGACTGTTTCTATGTCTTGTCACTTCCCTCTTGTCAGTTGTAAGATATTTTCCCTTTTCTAATTATTTATCGAATTTAATTGTCAAGATAATTATTATTTATCGTATTTAATTGATAAGATATTTTCCCTTTTCTAATTATTTATTGTATTTAATTGTCAAAAATATTATTTGCTTCATTTATAAACTAAATTAAATGCAGTTTTCAGATCCATTTACTTAAAAGTTTTAAATATATTTGAAATCAAGTTAGAAATTAACGTATTTACTCCCTATATATATATAATAAAAAAATTTAAGCGAAGAAGAAAAATTATTAACTAATAAAAAAAAAATTAAAAATACTTAAAAAGAATTTTAAAAATTAAACAAGGCAAATATGTTATTTTTGTAATTTTTAAAAAAAATATATTTATTAATAGTATTTTTTTCTATTTAATTTTTTTTCTTGTTTTCCTTGTATTTTATGGGTTCTATGTATTTGCAACTTAAGGGCAGTAAATAGAACTTAATATTTTTTTTGATTTCCTTTTTTTTAATTATGTCTCTATATTGTGCTGCTTATGTATATAGCTCATGAAATACAATCACCCAAATTTTTATGAAAAAATAAGAGGCAATAATCTTTGGGACAAAGAGCCGTTTCTTGTTTGTGTTCCCCATAATTTAAAAAGTACAATAATTAGGTTCTTAAATTAAGAATTTGAAAAAAATAACAAAATTAAAACTTTTAAGTTTAACTTTTTAAGCTTACCGAAAGTTTATATAAGCTAGAAATTAAGCTTATTATGACTTTTATTTTTACAATCTAAGCCTGTCCTAGTCGACTTTCAAGCATAAGTGATTACTTTTTGTCATAATGATTGAAATAAATTAAGTATGGCTGTGTACAACTTAGATCAGATCTGCTTTTATTTCAATACATTTAAAGTTACATTTTGTGCTGTTATTATAGTTTTAACAAAATAGTTTGCACATTTAGAATATAAAACATTTAAACAGTAAAGTTCAATAAAATTGAATACAATGTCAAATTATCTTGATTATTCCTATTACAGTCAACCTCACTTAAAAGAATACCATCGGTTCCAGCCAAATCTAAGCAATTAAGCGGGTTATTCGATTAAAAGGGGAGTACAATATTCAATCTTAAATTCTAAATTTCTGCAAAAATTCACTTTTTAAATGGTATTTAACGAATAGTATAGCGTTTGGATTAAATAAACTCAGTTTTATGATCAATAATCAATTATAATTAAAACTGTCTGTGCTAGTATCATAAAATATAAATGCCATTTAAAGTTACATAAAAATAAATCAATATTAGTAAAAAGTTTAATATTGGTACTAAAATATTATTTGATCCCTTCAGAAAAAATCAATTATTGAAGAATATTTTTATACCCATTTAATTCGCCAATTTATCAATCAGTTTTTCTCTTTCAATTTCTACTAAGACTTTCATGACATGCATATTCCTTTTAAATACATTCAAAATTAAACTTGCTTAAACCAACTAATGAACAGGAAGTCCCTATTGAAGTGACCACATCCGTATCTTAAATGAAAAACGGAAGTTCCATTTTAGCTGATGAAAACATTTCTCAAAAAAAAAAAAAATTATTTATCACCTTTTTTATGCAATTAGGCGGGGTACAAAAAACAACAAATATCCTTTTAAACAGGGAAGTTTATCATTAGTTTAATATAAAATGATTTGGTTCCATTAAATTTTATTCGTATAAGCAGATTATCCGATATGCAATTAAATGGGGACCACTGTATCCATGAAATAGAAAGTAGGGATATTTTAATTAATACACATTTAAAAACAATATACTTTACCTGATTATTGAATGGAGGTCACAACTTGATGAGCAGAACAAAAAATGTTTTTTTAAAGAAGTTTGGTAATGTCTATCACTAACCTTACAATATTCAAAAAGATATGAATCAGTTGTCAGTGTTAAAGAATTTTTTATTAAATTTCACTAAAATATAGCCATTTCTCTTCAGACATCATCTATTATTTGAAGCCTAAATGTTTCTCATTTGTAAGAGATGAATTTTTTTTAAAAAACATTTTTGAACAACAGTAAGTAGTTAAACATAACAGCTTAGTGAAATTTCGAAAATATTTAAAAGTTTGGATTTAAAGTTATACTATAAAAGTGGTTTTTCATCTGAATCATTTTGGCATATTTCCACATCAGCTTTAAAAAATCGAGCACATTCATATTTCTTTATTTTTCATTCTAATAACTATAAACTCAATAAAATGAACCTTAACCTTCTTCTGTACCCTTCTATCTTTAAGCCCTTAATTTATTCTTTAAGTAATGAAAAAAAATTTTTTATGATAAATTGTCACATAATTTTAAAATTTTTTACTGAATGTTTTGATTAAAAAGATTCAACTACTGAAATACTTAAATTAATCAACATAGTCACAAATCTTTTTCATATTTAAATTATATCTTGTACTACAGATAAAACTGTCTTTATTAAAATGTCTGAATTCTAAAAGTTCTATATATAATAGCAAACTGTGCCTAGACTAGCAAATGCTTATTTAATGCAATATATATATGAGTTTTTTAAGTAAAGGCCATTTTGTTACATACATTGTGTGCGATGAGTGCACGCATAGTGTCCTTGCATTCCTTGCTTTGAAATGCTTAAAATTAACGAATCGTCTAACTTGTGAGAGGTACTGTCAATGATATGTTTCTTATCAGCAGGGAACCTGCCTGCTGCAGACATTCATTGCCAAAGTTGTGAAGACTTTGCCAACACTAAATTTTAGATCTAAATGTGTAAGTGTGTTAGAAACTTCAAAGCTGGCCGCAGCAATGTTCGCAATGGGATCCTGCTCTGGTAGCCCATCTGTGATTACAGACGATATGGCTACTCCACTTGAAGTGAAAATTCTTCACTCATTTCTTCAGACATTTTAACATAAGCACTTTTAAACGACTTTCTATGCCACGAGTGTCTATGTCAATCATCTCGGCGGCAACCACTTCAACAACAATGAACACATGAAAACAGCTTTAAACTCTTGGTTATCAGATCAGACGGCAAGTTTCTATGAAGAGGGTATTCTAAATCCAGTCGATAATAAGTGTTCAAACAAACTTGGAACTACGTTGAAAAACAGACACATAGATATAATCTTGAAAATAAATTTGGTTCTTGAAAATTTTATTTCATTTTGTTTTTACTTTCAAACAGTATTTACTTAAAAACCATTCCTCACATAAATATAGATAATTTCTCTGTAATTAAACACCAAATATAAAGAATTCTGGTGAAATTTTCAAAAAAATATGATGTGTAAAACTTTCTGGAAATTAAAATAAAGAAAGCTACATATAAAAAAATTTACTAGAAATATGTACAACATTTACACTTTTTTACGTTTCTTTACAAAAGATTTGGGTTTTAACGAATTTTTCTCCTGATCAGGTTTGTCCTGAGTCTTCTTTGTTGCTAATTTAGCTTTACGTCCCTTTTTCCCTTTGTTTTTTAATTTTGCTTCTTTCCTCTTCTTCTTTTTCTTCAAAAATGCCTGATAATCTTTGTCAGACTTTGATGATCCATTCTGCTGTTTTTTATCGATCTCACTTGAAAATTTTACTTTCTTAGGCAGTTTGCCTCTTGAGGAATCGGAAGAAAATTTTCGTTTTTTGGACAGAGGTAGAATGTCTGAAATTAAATTAACTTGTTAAATCATGCATAAAATAATCTTAAAGTCTGCATAAAAAAAATTTAGATAAAATGTGACATTACTATCATCGGGTTCTTGTCCAACAGCTTCTCGATACCATTTCAAATCTTCTTCTCTCTCCTCATCACTAACAACTTGAGCATCATTACTCTTCTCTTCCTTATTGTCAAGCAATTTCTTTTTCTCAACATTTCTTTGTTGCTCTGCACGACGTTTCTCTTTTAAAAGTCTATAATGCACAAGAAAACATAAGCAACATCTAATAAAAATTCAATACATAATTTTGATCTCTTATAACATATAGAATAATAATGTCATTTTGGTCAATCCAATTTTCAAAACATTAGTCAGCATTAAAGTATCACAGCATAGTTATATAGTTAGGAAAATACAGTAGTACTTCCTAACGTAAGAAACCATATGGACGAGACGTTTAGTCTCTTAAATTGAGTTAATTAATAGATTTAATGCCTTATTCAGAAGGTACATAAAACCTTAAAAAAATATTAATTAATTGGAGATTCAGAAAATTTCTGAAAGGCTCGTTTAAAGCAACAAACCATATTTTTGTTTTATTTTTATTTCCACTCTATCCTTCACCACATAACTTTAATATTACGTTTTTATGAATTACACATTTCTGCCAGATTAATTACATCAATTTTTCTTTCTGATATTAATGAACTAAACTGATATTTTATATAACATATGATTTATTACTCCCAATTAGCTATGCATTATTTATTACTACCAATTAGCTATTGCATATGATTTATTACTCCCAATTAGCATGGAGAAAATGCAGCAGATATAAAATAAACAAAACAACTCATACAAGAAAAAAGTCACAAGTAATCTGCAAGCTAATAGTAAGTACAAAATATTTTTATAAAACTTATTTAAAGCTGCCTCTTCAATTCTAATGGCACATATTCAAATTTAATGGTATCTAAGCAACACATGGTAGTAATAAATTTTTCTGGCAATTATAACTATGCACTAGAAATAAATTAAAAAGCTAAACAATAATTCTGACTTAAATAATAATAATAATAATCTTAAGATTCTCAAAAAGTCTTTATTTATAGCAAGAGTACTATAGAATAAAAAACTATGTAACTCACTTTTTTTCTTTACATCTTTCTTTCAAGGCTTTAATTTCTTCTGGGGTTTTAGACACAAACTGATGGAAAAGAACTTCCCCGCTCATAAGACCTTCTTCAATCTTCATTAGTTGCAATGTCATTCTTGGACCAATTTCATAAAGCCTTAAAATAAAAACATTTCTTTAAAAAAATATTTAAATAAAATAATTACAACACAGTTCTAAATATGTGTGGGACTCAAAAACTAAATCAAAGACAAAACATATTTCAAGAAAACAATATAATCCTTAAAATAAAATAAAAACATTTTCAAAAAAATAAATATTTAATTAAAACTAATACAACACAATTCTAAATATGCGTAGGATTCAAAAACTAAATCAAAGATAATAAATAATGCAAGAAACGAATATAATCATCACGAAGAATAACACTTCTGCCCAACTATGATAAGTGTTATTCTTATTGAATAACTTTATAATGCTATAAACAAGTGCCATTATTAGCACTAAGGGAACTTAACTAAAAGAAACACAAACATATTACAGAATCAAGAGTTACAATGTTAAATTTGATAAATAAAAACTTTATATTTTAACTCTTATTCATTAACTAATATTTCTGTTGTTTATATAACTTTTTTTTCATTCTGCATCTCAGTACAGGTGAGGGCATATGCTTATAATACTGAAACTACTTAAAATGTTCCAATTTTGATGTTTTCTTGCATGATTAATTCCATAAAAAAAGATAATCCTCCTCTCTAATGATAAAGAAAGAAAAGAGGTAATAAAATTGCCCCAAACATAATTATTCTTTAATAGTTATTTTTATTTGAGAGACAGATGTGTTTAAAAAATGAATGAAAAATTTAAGAAGCAAAGAATCATTTGAGTTGACTTTTTAACTGCAAGTTCGATACTTTAAATTTAAAACATAATTTTATTCATCTTGAGAGAACCGAATCACTGTTGGGCCCCTGGGAAAAAAGGCATGTTTATTCACAGAAAGCACACTTTTATGTCTGATTTCACCATTGCACTAATTAATTAGATCAACGGTTCAATCTCTATTGCTGTCACAAATAAACCAGTTGTTTTTAACCAATTCAAGATTTTATGAAATTTCACTTTAAGACAATCATTTTTAGTTGAATATGAATTAAAAAAATTAAAGTAGCACTGAGAATTATGATACAAAATTTGAATTTAGAAGCAAATATACAAATTTAAATTATATTAAATATCTGAATTTTACCACTCAAGACTAACATTAACATTAAGATAGCTAAAGAACTTCTAAGTAACATAATTTCCCCCCCTTTTCTTTCACTAAATTTGGTTGAGATCTACAAACAACAGTTGTTTGTCATAAAAAAGTAAATACTGTTATTTTTAAATAAATAAACAAAGATATATTTAAAAATATGTTAACAATATACTGACTGACACAAGTTGAATGCTTACCGTATAGCACTTTTCTCAGAAGCTATGTTCCCTCTTGATGATATTGGCTGAGGTAAAGTAACCGTATTTGCTGCACCATCAAATTCAACTTCACTTTCAGAGAGATTACCAGATTTTTCAATGAAGTCTGAAATATCTTTATGCTGACTTAAATTTGGAACTTTTGATTGGATAAGTTTTTTAACAGCCTTACTCATTCCTGTAGGAACAACTTTTATGGCACTATTTAGAAAGAGAGTGAATTAAGTTAGTCTAAATTTAAGTTCAAGTATTTTTAATGATANTAGAAATAAATTAAAAAGCTAAACAATAATTCTGACTTAAATAATAATAATAATAATCTTAAGATTCTCAAAAAGTCTTTATTTATAGCAAGAGTACTATAGAATAAAAAACTATGTAACTCACTTTTTTTCTTTACATCTTTCTTTTAAGGCTTTAATTTCTTCTGGGGTTTTAGACACAAACTGATGGAAAAGAACTTCCCCGCTCATAAGACCTTCTTCAATCTTCATTAGTTGCAATGTCATTCTTGGACCAATTTCATAAAGCCTTAAAATAAAAACATTTCTTTAAAAAAATATTTAAATAAAACAAATACAGCACAGTTCTAAATATGTGTGGGACTCAAAAACTAAATCAAAGACAAAACATATTGCAAGAAAACAATATAATCCTTAAAATAAAATAAATAAAAAAAAATTTTTTTTAAATATTTAATTAAAACTAATACAACACAATTCTAAATATGTGTAGGATTCAAAAACTAAATCAAAGATAATAAATAATGCAAGAAAACAATGTAATCATCACGAAGAATAACACTTCTGCCCAACTATGATAAGTGTTATTCTTATTGAATAACTTTATAATGCAATAAACAAGTGCCAATATTAGCGCTAAGGGAACTTAACTAAAAGAAACACAAACATATTACAGAATCAAGAGTTACAATGTTAAATTTTATAAATGAAAACTTCATATTTCAGTTCTTATTCATTAACTAATATTTCTGTTGATTATATAACTGTTGTTTATAACTGTTCTGTTGTTTATATATTCTGTTGTTTATATATTCTGTTGTTTTTTTCATTCCGCATCTCAGTACAGATAAGGGCATATGCTTATAATACTGAAACTACTTAAAATGTTCCAATTTTGATGTTTTCTTGCATAATTAATTCCATAAAAAAAGATTATCCTCCTCTCTAATGATAAAGATGGAAAAGAGGTAATAAAACTGCCCCAAACATAATTATTCTTTAATAGTTATTTTTATTCGAGAGAAAGATATCTTTAAAAAATGAATGAAAAATTTAAGAAGCAAAAAAACATTCATGTTGACTTTTTAACTGCAAGTTCGATACTTTCAATTTAAAACACAATTTTATTTATCTTGAGAGAACCGAATTACTGTTAGCCCCTTGGGTAAAAAGGCTTATTTATTCACAGAAAGCACACTTTTATGTCTGTAGTTGTAGTTCATTTACGTCGCACTAGAGCTGCACAATGGGCTATTGGCGACGGTCTGGGAAACACCCCCGAGGATGATCAGAAGACATGACATCACAATTTTGATCCTCTGCAGAAAGGAAGGCACCCTGCCTGATAACCTGCACGCGAAGTCGAGCACTTTACAGTAGAACAGTTTAACAAGGACCAATACCGCACACCCTCAGTTCCTAAGCAGACTAATCCAAGCGTTAACCCACCCGCACACTGACCGCAGCCAATGATGCTTGACTTCGGTGATCTGCTGGGAACCGTGTCTTAACAATCAGTCCACTGCAGGACCCACCTTTATGTCCGATTTCACAATTGCACTAATTAATTAGGTCAACAGTACAATCTCTATTGCTGTCACAAATTAACCAGTTCTTTTTAACCAATCCAAGTTTTTATGAAATTTCATTTAAAGACAATCTTTTTTAGTTTAATATGAATTTTATAAAAAAATAAAGTAGAACTGAGAAATATGATACAAGATTTCAAACCAGAAGCAAATATACAAATTTAAATTACATTAAATATCTGAATTTTACCACCCAAGACTAACATTTACATTAAGATAGCTAAAGAACTTCTAAGTAACATAATTTTTTCCCCTCTTCTTTCACTAAATTCGGCTGAGATCTACAAACAACAGTTGTTTGTCATAAAAAAGTACATATTGTTATTTTTAAACAAATAAACAAAGATATATTTAAAAATATGTTAACAATATACTGACTGACTCAAGTTGAATGCTTACCGTATAGCACTTTTCTCAGCAGCTATGTTCCCTCGTGATGATATTGGCTGAGGTAAAGTAACTGTATTTGCTGCACCATCAAATTCAACTTCACTTTCAGAGAGATTACCAGATTTTTCAATGTAGTCAGAAATATCTTTATACTGGCTTAAATTTGGAACTTTTGATTGGATAAGTTTTTTAACAGCCTTACTCATTCCTGTAGGAACAACTTTTATGGCACTATTTAGAAAGAGAGTGAATTAAGTTAGTCTAAATTTAAGTTCAAGTATTTTTATTGATAAAATAGAAATATTATTAAATTATAAAATATGATACTCAAATGAAATTTCATCAATTTAAAAATAATTACTGTAGTTCTCAAATTTTTCCTACAAAACTGAAAGAAAATGATAATAAGATAAGATACACAGAAAAAGATACACAGAAAAAAAGATACACAGAAATATAAAAGATACACAGAAAAAAAGGATGAAAAATGTTGGATTATGTTGCATATCTATAGCACGTTGGGTGGGGCTATGATGTGCCAAACTCATAAAACAATTTAAGTAATATAACAACAGCAGATGATGCTAAAAACTATTTCTGACAAAAAAAGAAATGAAAAGAATGAACAAAAAAAAGAGGAAGAAAGGCTACTAAGGCATATTAAAGCTTTAGAGCCTGTTTATATTTAAAGATAACTTATTCTTCTTTCAAGAGAGATAATCTAATATAAATTCATAATTGCAAAATATTTGGGAAACTTAATGTAATGTGCGAAAAAAATTAATTCAGAATATTATGCTCTGCTACAGAAGAAAACATAATATTAATCAGAAAAATAAAATATTAAAGTTATTTCGATAGACATTTTACAGTAGAATAATATATACGTAAAACATTTTTCATGTATTTCAAGGATATAAGTTATTATTAGGGATCAATTTTTTTCAAATAACAAAATAATCAAGTAAAGATATCCACATAAATTTCTGAAACAAACTAGATAAACTACATACAATGCTAAAAAAGAGCTTGTAATTATTTATACATCAAAACTCTACAATTTTGCTACACTAGTTTTTTTTAGATAATTACATAAAAACAACAGCAAAGCAAGCAATAAACAGATATTAAAGTAGTAAGTTTTAATATTAAGCTTTAAAGTTTTATAGCAAAATTATCTCTCTATGTATTTAAATATAATAAATTATCATAACACAAATTTACTCATGAACAGATAAAAGTAAGTAACAAAAATTTTAAAACAATTAGATTAAGTTTTTTTCATTAAAGTTAATGAATTAAATCTTGATTACCTAAACAAAAATTTTATTGTATTAACACATTAAAAAAAATCTTTAGAAGTTTCTTGAAATGCTTACTATTGTCTCAAATCCAAAGTTTGGTCTTCGTTATAGTTTATGAGTAAACATCTTCGAATTGTATTTAAGTTTGTCTGTAAGAAAATAAAAATTTATTGTATTATGCTTTTAATACATTTAAAATGAAAAGACAAAAAAGCTTCAGTGAGGCTACACAAATAAACAATAAATATATGAGAAATTTATCTATTACTAATCCATGTTCATTAAAAAAAATAGTTAAATATTAAACAATTTTCAATAAAACAGACAGTTTATATAAGTATACATCTATAATTGATGATACAAACTGACATTAGATTTAAAGTGAATTTGAGGACATTTCGCATAAAGAAGTCTAAAAAACAAAAAATTAAACTATAACACACACACAAACAGTTCACACTCTTTAGTATGATCTCCCATAACGACCAATACATGAAATCCCATTCGTTCCACAAACACCATGGTATTTTAACACCCATTAGAACCTCTAAACTGAACTGGTCATTCCAATATTGCGCCTAAAATTTTGTATCACTTTTTCTTTTAATTCCTAGAAAATAACTTCTAAAACATGCATTAAACATTTTTGCACTTTGAAAACTAACACAATTTTAGTACAAATATTAACATCATAGAAGTAGTTTCAAAACACTTAATCTGGGCATTCGGGGATAGGGGAAATGGCCCCTATTAGTTCTTTAGCCGACTTAGCCTTTTTGGAATAAAATGAAGATTTAAAAATAAAATAAAAATATGCAATACTTGAATTATAGTTCCGGAACAACCCAAAAAAGTAATGAAACACAGTTACGGTGCATTAAGGCTCCACCACACCTCTTACCTGAGTTTGAATACTGAAATTAGTTTCTTGTTAAAACAAATACTTCAAATGATGTGTCTTACCTTATTAACATTTATAGATGGGAACATGTGTTGAAATGTTGTAGCCATCAGCTTCAAATGCATACCATCACCAGAGAAGTTATTTAAAACAAGAAGAGGATGATGATCAAACAATTTTTCATATATTACAGATTTCTTTTGGGAAGATATAATATCTTTAATTAAAGAGTACTCTTTTACTTGGTAGGTCAATGTAGGACCATGTGGAAGTTTTGCTGTTCTCAAATAGATAGCATTTTCAGTCTTAGTGAAAACTACTAAATGTGTAACATTTAAAGGACCTGCTATATGAACGAAATCTTTCAACACATTTGCTTTTTGTACCTGCAATAAGAAAAATCACAGCATGAAAATTCTGCATCAAACAGGGTAGTTATTCAAAAAATGCTGAAAATTCTTTTTAGTTCCTTTGCTTACCTTTAAATGAGAAGCGGTATATGGTTCCATTATTTTTCGAAAATTTAGCAATAGTTCATGACCATTCTTTCCAAGCCTTCCTCTGTTTATAACAAATGAATGAGGTGCTTTAACGAGTTCTTCAGGCTCATCATTTGATATTCCTTTTCGTGCGTTCTTAGCAGCTTTACCTCTCTATAAAAAAAAGGGACAATATTGAAAATAAAAATATTTTCTAGTAATAAAACAAATAGAAAAAATATGAGAAAAAACAATAAGGTTCTATTCAAACTATTGATAGTAACTTTTCATATAGTAATAAAACATCAATGTGTAAAAATGAGACATATATCAGGGGTCTGTTTAGAAGAAATTTGGNTTTGTAAAAATGAGACATATATTTATAGTAACTTTAATGGTGTAAAATAAATGTTTAAATTAAAAATAAAAGAAATCTAAAAAATGTTTGGCTTAAGTATAGCGGCCAAAATAAAGAAGGAAAAAAATACATTAGATTATGTAAAACAATATAAATTTCATGCTAACTTTTTTCTTTTATCAAAAATAAAATAGGAACATACCAAGATCATAACACTAATAAAATAAAAACCATTAAATAAATTTACTTCAATACTTTACATTTATAATTGATATAAACTTGATGACTGTAAAATGTTTTTTATTATGTTTATTAAATTCTTAATTATAAATAATGATAGATAATGAATTCATATAATTAATTATAACATATAATTAAAAGGGATTTCAAAATGAAAAATATTTTGAAATTTTTTAAAGAATATTTAAAAAAGGAAAGCATCAAACTGATTGTTATAAATGTGGCTTTGCTCATTATCTAGCAATAATACTTAATTAACTACTCAAAAAACCAATACACAGTGGAATTTTATTTAGAAACTTTCTAAATTTTGAAAAATGCTCTCAAAAATACAATAAACAGGAAAATTTTTTAATTAAATTAGGAAAAATCAGCAAAATCTAGTTGATTTGGCAGTTAGGACCCAGACTAAAGCCAAGTTTTAAATGTTTTAACCAAAGGCAATTCAATCAAATTTCAAATCAATAAACAAATTTACTATCAGTTGAACTATTTTATTAAAATCCAAACATTAACATTTTGAAAATGTAGCATACATGACTTAAATAGACTAATAAATAATGAAAATAATATAAATAATGAAACACATTTTATTTTCATTCCATCTTTGCACAAACCAGGTAAACTATTTTTACTAGTGCACCAACCTTTAAAAGTTCAATAAACATTCAAATGCACTAACATTCACAAGCACTTGAAGCAACAGTTGATACTTTCTTAGATTCCGATTACCCTTTATATAAATATAATTCAGTTTAAATAAAACGTCTTATCCTATGAGTCCTATTTTTAAATGAAAGAATTTTAACGGTCTCCATTATTTTGTCATTTGAGTCCTGGACAGCTATGCCTAAATATTTTGGATTTTTTCCTCACAAGTTCACAACAAACTGTGGATATTTCTCATAAGAAAATATCAAACCATTTTTATTAATTTAAAACCATTACAACCTGTCATATGGCCTATAATTTTTATGCCTTGTAACTTTAAGCATGAATATGTTAACCTTATACGATTTTTATAACTAATTGAAATGGTTTTACAATTGTCTAATAATTAACATTTATTATATCAGCTAAAATATTTAAAAGGATATTTCCGTGACTGTTTGTGCTAACTTATAATCGCAAAGATGATAAAGAGATTTTAACTTGCAAGATTTTAATTAAAGAGATTGAATTAAAGAGATTTTAATAAATAAAAAAAGTAGGAAGGGGTTAGCCCTATGGTGGTAATAAGTTATTACCTTTGATTTAGTCCCCTTCTGTGCTACTTTATTATTTTCCGTTTATTGAGGACCATTGCCTGGAAGTAGCCGAAACTAGAAGATTTTTTAAGCATAAGTACAGATACCGATATCTTCCCAAATGTAAATTTTGCAGGTTTCGTGAGTTTAATTTAATGATATTCATGAAATAGGCAATTCAGATTCTTTCTATTTTCAAGTGGAGCTCGTATTTTCCAAGAAATTTACAATTACCTTCTAAATTTGAAAGGAAAAATAATAATTACCTTATGCTTCCTCTTTCCCATATTTTTAATGAATATTATTAATAGAACTACTACACGTGAAGAATTAGGAAAACAATAACAAACTTTAATGTAATCAATTTTACGCTGCTGCTAGTTTGTTTTTGTGCAGTTGTAAACTTACAAATTGAGGTAATTTGGTTTATATTGTGTTTCATACAAATGAAAAAGTTTGCATTTGAGAAAATTAAATTTATAAATAGAAAGTTTTTGCAACAAGTATATTGGCTATTTAACTTTGAAAAGTAATTAGTGCAAAATATAGTAGTGTGTACTGCTGTGAGTAGAGCATTTTACTTGAAACTTGAGTGCTCATAAAAATTGATAATGTGATAGCTACAAACAGAGTAAACACGTGTAAATTTTTGGCATGTATCCTGCCATCAATTTAACTATCAATGGAGCACGGGCATTGATTGTAAATAAACAATTAATGGCAAGAGCCTGGGTGGCAAGGGTCCCATAACTAGGATATTTGGTCAATTTAGGAATTGGTAACTGGGCGGAGTGAGCTTGACGCTAGCTTTTATCCATCAATCTTCTTATAACCCTATATTGATTGTGTGACCAAACTTTTTCGCCAAAGCAATTGGCGTTGTTTAAACAAAAGCTATTGTTAGAGGAAGCCATTTTCTGTATTTGGCTGCGCGGGATTTCATATTTTATCATCATGAAAGTTTTANAAAATAGAGTGTTTATAACTTATATATTGAATTTATTTCGAATATTACATATACTTTTCGAAAGATAGTGTGCTAAACTTTAAATTCTGACTCAGTTTTAATTAAAAACTTCCTTTAAAATGCTGCAACTTGAGGATTGATATTTGATCACTCTACGTATTTTGTGTGATTTGTAATGTTATGTCATAACTTGATTAGAAATAAATATATGTAATACTTGCATTAAAATGATTAAGATTTAGTGTTTTATTTATGTGTGTATGATTTTATTTATCTAAATGCCAATATATATATAACACATTTTAGAGAATATCATAACCAGTCATCTTTTTAATTCATATTACATTTCTTAATAGTATATCTATTTCGAATAGGATCTTTATTTTTTTAAGAAAACTTGTTTTCTGAACTTTGAAACGTGATAGATTTATGTTTCATTAGTTCCATTTTTATTCAATGGATTCCGCTAGGAATTGCAAAATGAATAATATTATTGAAAATTTTGTGTTTTTTGACTCATTAAAGCAGAATTATTACAAAACATATTTTTCCCACATAAGTATCTCACAAATAACATTTAAAAAGAAAAAAAATCATGTTCTGATTCTATTTAAGGGTATTTACATTGGTGTTTAAAAACTGAATAATGGCGAATTGTATGAGAATAAGTCTTTATTCACATTAAAATGTAAATCAAATATATAAAGTATCGAAAGTATATCTATTGTTCTGTGTCACACATTTAGTACTAAGAGTTATGAGATCACATATACATTTATTTAGTTATTTTTATCTCAAATATAATACTGTAGAGTGATCTACCTCCCCTCAGTGTACACTGGTAACATATTTCTATGGGTAAAACTTTTACTTCTGGCATATGTTCTAACTCCATGGTCAGCTTGACATGGATGATCTTCACATTATCCATCGTATTACTCTTTGTGAGATGACTGTTTCTAAGTGATGCTAGAAAGCAAGGGGACAAATCGTTTATTTCGTGATTTTTTGTGTGGTCAATTATTTGCATTATAAATAATTTGAAATTGTTACTCTTTTTCTCTCTCATTAGGCAAAAATAAAAATTTTGATTAAATTTTACCTGAAAGATGAAGGATACTTCTTTGTAAGTAAAACTAAACAATATTTGAATTAAAGAAGAAAATAACTAAAAATTTCCCATGTTCTTTTATACAAAAACAGTTGCAACTCAGCAAAATACACTTTGGTACTTATTAGAAATATAAATTAAACTAAATATATTTTGCTATATGTAATGGCAAAAATGAAGAATGAAATTAAAGTTGTTAGAATAAAACATGACTGATTCCTATTCACTATGATTAGCTATTAAGCTGTGTGCCTTATAATTTTAGAAATACAATGTGCTTTATATCGATTATTATTATTTTTTTTTTAAATTTTGAATTCTCTGAAACTCTTTTTGTGACGATTTGATTATTTTTGTTCATATTTTTGTTGTTTGTTTATTTCAATGAAGCGTGAAATTATTAAAGAAAAGAGAGAAGCTATTATTAAATTGAAGTTATTCTTATAAAATATAGACAACTTTAGCATCACATATTCTAATTGATGTTTTTCAATTAAAAGATACAATACTTTTAATACAAAAAGTGAAATAGTATTGCTTTTCCAAATCTTTTATAGGAATGGTATTTTTTTATACTTTTACCCCTGTATGATTATGCATGCTAACTCAGTAGTGTTGTATCCTATGCTAACACTTTAATCCTAATGTGTGAACCTTTTTATTAAACTGTTTTTATTGAAAATGTAAATTTGTGCATTGGTTGCCTCTTAGAAAATTGGTTACCTTTTTTAAAATTTTACTGATAGGGATCCGTTTACTATTAAAAAAATCAGTGTCTGGTTCACCTTATCAACTTAGTTATTTAAATATGTTACCTTAGAAATTTTTTTTTAAATTGCCTTTATTTTATATACTGTTTATCCACATTGGGGTCGGGTACTAGTGGGACGTAAATAATGTGGCTATTGCTATGTAAGCAGTTGTTATTCTTTCATTGATCAAAGACAGGAGTTATCCATTTCGCAAAGGCATGCAGCTAAATAAACTAACAGTCTTTTTACCTGAAATGCAATTGAATAATCTGTTTCCATAGCAGCTGTCACCAACTTGTCTACCATTAGGAGCTTCTCTCGCAATGAAAAGACAGGGCATTGGCTTTTCAGTTATTCTTTCAGAAATGCAACAATCAACTCCCGTCAGATTTTTAAAAATTTATCTAATATCAATCCTAAATCAGACGGTGGAAAAACTTCATAGTGATATATCTTATAAATTTATGACAACAGCAGCGTAATTGAGAAAATGAACACCACATGATTAAATAAACAGTTTGTTTTTACTTACTAAATTTCTTGATATTGATTGCTTTTCTTTCGTAAATTTCTTGATTACATAAATTTTTTTTTTTACATTTTTCTAAATAATTTTGATAATCTTTAAGAAATTATATTATGTGAAACAAAGTCAATTTTCTGCAGACAACAGCTGAAAAAAGTAACAACTTTTTGTAGATATTAACTGGAATAACATTTTTCTAAAGACTTAATTTTAAAGCATGATGTAAGGAATAACATTTTTCTAAAGACTTAATTTTAAAGCATGATGTAATATAATATTTAAAATATCGACCCTTAACAGAGTTCGAACCCCGAATCCTTGGGTCTACTAATTTGTTGCTTCCTATTACACCACACACCGCTTTGCCACTTATATTAACCTTTTATAATTTTACCTCGCTTTTCCATTGGAACCAAATCTTGCCCTCTCTAGAGCCACCTAATTTGTTTATAATTGTTTTCTTTGGCACGATTGTAAAGCATATTAAAATACAATATCTGGTCGAGTTTAAAAATTATAGGTTAATATTAAGGGGAGATATGGAGTTATTCATATGCATAGTATATGAGCAAAAATTTTTCCATTTTTAAGCTATCATTCGCTTGATTAAAAAAAAAAAATATTAAGGAAAATGAATATTTTATTTACATTACAATATTGAAAAAAAAAAGTTATAAAATATAATTTTTTTAATATTGACACTTTACTGGGCTCGGATCTCAAACCCTTGGGTCTACTAATTTGTTGTTTCCTATCGCGTAACACTAAAGGCCAGGCCAAACACATCTTTGCCACTTATATTAACCTTTAAGCACGGAAAGCACTCTGCCCCCTAATTTGTCTATAATTATTTCATTTGGTACGATTGTATAGTATACATTAAAATATACTATCCGGTCAAGTTTGAAAATTATCGGTTAATATTAAGGGGGAATATGGGGTCATTTATATGTATAGTATATGAGCAAAAATTTCTCTATATTTAAGCTATTATTCGCTCTCATAAAGAAGTAAAATAACAATTTAAGGAAAAGAAATATTTTATTTACATTACAATATTAAAAATAAATGTTTTTTTTTCAAAAATATTGACACCTAATTGGGTTCCAACCTCAGACCTACTAATGTGTTGCTTCCTATCCCGTGCTCTACTATTATTTTTCTTTCCATATTTTTTGCTTTCCTTTTCACTATATTTTATGCATTACTTTTATTTATGAGTTACATTTATGTGTTTAATTTTAGGCATTATTTTTATTGTTCTTATGCATTACTTTAACAAGTTTTCTTTTCTTATCTTTTTTTTAAATTTTGCGTGTTATTGTCTTTTACACCCAACAATTCTTTATTCAATTCATTTTCTCGTTAATATTATGCTTTACCTTTCTTTATGCGTTGCTTTTAAGCATCTACTTTAAGCGAAATTTTTGCTTTCATTTTGCCTTACTGTGACACATTTAAAGGGTTTTTTATATTCACGCTTTTTCTTCTATTCTGTGTTACTTTCAATTTTACTCGTTGTAGTCATTCTTCATTTAACGCATATACTTTTCTAGTGCATAAAATAATTATACATAACTTTTACATTTTCTTTCGATCTTCTTCAACGATTTTATTTTTAAGCGTTAGTTTTACTCGATACTTTTTTATGCATTAATTTACACACTTTTATTTTATACATTACTTTTCTTAATGCTTTATTTTTTCATGTTAACTTTTTATGCATTACTTTTACTTTTTTCCATTAAAGTAACACGATTTTGAGTTACTTTGACACTTTTGCTTTTCTTATGTGTTACTTGTTAGCTTTATAAATTTTTGCACATACATTTCATTATTATATCCTTTTAAGCTTCTATAATTTTTATGTATTACTTATCGCCGACACTCTGGCTAAGGAGGGGACAGAAGAAACTTTGATGAGTCCAAATTCACTCACCTTCATGGAACTGGCATCAAAAAAGAAAATCGAAGACAATGTTTCCTGGCTCGTACCCCCCAAACAACACTGGCACCAGAGCACCCGTCCAGGAGGTGCACTCAACATTCGGTGCAACCGCAAGGATCAGACGGCGCTTACCAGCAGCCACCTTAAGTCTCTTTTTTTCGAGGGTAGTGTTAAAATCTTCCCAAACTACCCCAGGTGCTACAACATGCAGACTTCTCTCCAACATTTCCTGGACTGGACATTCTAGAAAACGCACTTTTGGTGGCCGAATTCCTCTGGGTCATGAATTTCATGGACATTGTTTAGCCCTGCTAATTTTGGGGATTAGGAAGAAGACTTTATAAATTTACCTTTTTATGGATAATTAAATACACTATTTACTGCACTAATTAAATACATCAAAGATGTGCCCTTCAAACTATTAAAATTGCATCTCAGTATACAAAATTCTTACTTTTAATTTAAATTATTCAAGTTATTTTATTTTTCTGTTGACTGTTTTTCTTACTTAGTCAAAGTTAAACAATGAATATTCATTAAAATTGTTCCTTTATTTTGAAAATTTAGATTAATTTTTGATACATTTTAAATGTTATGCTAATTTATTCATAAAAATATATGCTATTTATCAGTGACTAGTCTCCTTTAAGTTGTGTAACAGTTTACCAATTACCTTGTGATTATTGACACTAGTATTCTTTCCAGTTATGAAAAAAATATAGTTCTACTTGAGTTACAGGGTGTATTTAATAAAAAAATAATAATTTCTTCCGAACAACATATGATTTTTCTGCAAGTTTTTTTTTAGGTTGTGAAGCACTTTTCAAACGTCAAGTAATTAAAGTAAATACTTCAAATGAAAAATAGATGATAAAATATGATAATGGATAAAGTAATGAATTTGATGCAGTATGTTTGACTATACCGATTCCTCAAATCTTGCAGCTGAATGAACTATCTAATCTACTTCATGGTAAAAAATATTATGATATTTATATTTTAAAGAAAAGGGGATTGTTTATCTTTTATTAATAAAGTAATCAAAGGGTATCTCATAACAATATCCTTTGAATTGATATTGTGTTGTAAATGCAGATATACCTCAAGATTATAAAATAGCTTTTCCATTGCTGGCGTCTATAACTCAGGTTCACAGGTGCCCATCAGATAACATTAAATGAGCAGCACTTCTGGCACCTTCCATTACAAAGAACATACTAGTTCAGTGCCAGTCATTAGAAGAAAAGATAAAATAGCTTTTCCAGCTTCTAAACATCTTGCAATCATAATGCTTGGCAGGATGAAATAAAATTTTGTAGCTCTTTGTATAAGGTACAGGCTCAAGAATAGTGTTAAAAATATAGGAAATTATACAACTCTCATAGTTACAGAGACAGAGTTTAAAAATTCCCGGTTACACCATTGATGCAAAAAAAAAAGTTCACAGACGCAAAAAATATTTCACCTATTTTCTTCTTTTTGCATTTAAAGGTGATCTTACCCGTAAAGAACTTAAAATGGAGTTGGAGCATTATTTTTAGAATGAAAAACATAGTACAAAACATCATGTTTCGGAGGAAAAAATTAGGGGTTATTTTTTTGAAATTTTGTCATAACTGTAAAAGCGTGATGATCGTTTTTAACATCATTGAGACTTTACATCCTAATGCAGAATTTTATAATGGCATCATCATAGTTTGTCAGACAGCCCAATGTGAGCCAATACCTTCCTCTGAAGATTTCTCCACGACTACTTCTGATTCACCTTTGATCTCCAATTCTTTTAATTAATTGCGAGAAAATCAGACTCCACTGAGTCAGCCCATCTTAACCGCGGCCTTCCCCGCTTTCTTGTTCCAGTGGGTCTAAAAAGCAGTATCTTTTTTATTGTATTGTCATCACTCATTCGAATCACATGGGCCATCCAATTCATTCTATTTATTTTTATGTATTTAATAATATCAGGTTGTTTATAAATCTTGTACAGTTCAAAGTTAAATCTCCTTCTCCAGTTAGTGTTTTCATTTACACCACAAGTAAAATCTTCCTCTCAAATGATGCAATACAATTTTCCTCCTGTTTTGTCATTGTCCAAGCCTTAGAAGCGAAAGTCAAGACTGACTGGTTCCGATTTTATAATGTATTATTACAAATTAAATGGTCACTAGGGATCCATGCATTCACAAATTATTTTATGATTACCCTGTATATCTTCCATGTAATCAAAAACAAAGTGAAAAAATTTAAACAACTTTTATTTCTCTTCCTTTGTTTCTGTGTTATATCAATGCACTGCTCTGACAATAGCTTTGTAAATCATAATAGCTAAAACTTATTTAAAAAGAAGCAAGAGGTTTTAATAACTTTTTATAGTTGGAAATTTTAGAAAATTTATCTCACTTATATACAGATTTTTTATAATAACATAAAAAATAATAAAGTAAATAAGTAAATGTTTAGCTAACATGCAAGCTAAACGATAGCTTTCTGTGTGTGGGACTGCAAGGAGCTTAAACTTTTCATTTGTTTTGATTGCTATTATTTTAGTTTGAAAAAGTTGTCTACTGTTTGTCTAAGATAGGTACTCTGACCGCCACTAAGTCTGCGGCAGTCTGGTGCTATGGAAACAAGAAGAGGGCATTTTAGGGAGGGTAGCTTCGATGAAAGAGGTCTCTTCTCTCGCCGAAACCAGTCCTAAAGAGGGATCCCGCACCACTACTTGAAATTATCATACCTCGTTACCATAGTCACCACTCCAGGCGAATGTCTGGCAGAGTACCTATCTTAGACAAACAGTACATGAATAAAAATATACAAACAAAATCTGTCTCTGACCTTTACACTTTTAATATTAAGAAAAAATGCAAAAGGTGAAAATACACACTTCTTACATAAAAAAAATAGATAAATTTAAAAAATATTAAAAAAATAAAAATTGTGCGAGTTGCATACTTAAAAGTTCATACTCATAAAGAAGAAAATATATATACATGCTTACATGTAAATGGGCTCATTTTATAATATGTGTGATCAATATAATTGAAAGTTCCAAAGAATAAGAAAAGTGAAAAAAATAACAATATCTTTTTTTTAATTTTAAACATCAAAAATATTTGTAATTTTGCTTAAATGACTTTCAAATCTTTGTTACATAGCATGACTACAGTAGCCAAGAGAATGCATTGCGGAAAAAAAGGTATTAAAAAAAAAAAGAAAACACACACTGAACCCCAGGGTGATAACTGTGCATAAAATTTGTTTCCGTAAATTAGCCAACCCTGGCGTTACTTCTATTTCTTTTACTTCAATCTGAGTAAAAATTTAAAAGAAAATGTGAATTTTATGCTTAATTTCGTCTCCTTAATAATTTTTGTTTTATCTTTTCAAAGATCATTACCTAAAATTAGAGGCTGTTGAGTATTGCTCAAGATTTGCACTTGAATTATTCTATGATACAGAATGCAACTTTTTTGTAAAATTTCCTCATTCTGCAAAATTACTTTCTAATGATCCAGTGATTGCTTTATTTATATTCCATCAATCATTAAAACCAAAGTAAGCTGTTTAAAAGTTTTATCAACCTAATATTACATCTGTTAATTTTTTTCTTAATTACTAAAATATGGTAAAGTTAGATTCATTTTATTGAGGTTCTTATTTAACCTCATAGGAACATAACTATTGAAACTTATTCATATACCTAGAATGACAGGATTGTTCACAGTAGCCTCTGTCGAATTTTGTAATATTACGCAAAAATTCACTGGTTTCTCAGAATTGCTATATCACGTCTTTAAAATACTTATTTATAATTGAAGATACACCTGATATAAATATGTTCATTTTAAATTAAAAAGAACTGATCAGACAGAAGAAACTTAGTCGCAGAAATAATACTTTCCAATTAGGATAAGAGCTCAAAGCTTAAAACAGCGGAGCTAAATAAGCACAATATTGCAAAATTTCTTAGAAGCCACTGTAGTCAATGCTGAGCTTTTATTCTAGGAATAAGTTTCAATATTTTGTTATGAAAACTGTAAAAAAAATCAGGTTAATGTCATAAATCTTCAGCTTCAATAATTAAAAAAAGAAGAGTATTTCTTTTTATAATCTATAATTATCATTTATAAATAGTAGAAACACAGAATAACGAAAACATAAATAAAATTGAATAAGTCATAATGTTCCTATTAATCAGAAATTTTTATTATCCTATTAGAAAAGAAATATCACATGGTATTTTAATGAGCAAACATTTTTAAATATATTTTCAGTTATATATTTTAGATCTTTACTCAAAAAGCTCTAGGAAGGGAAATTTTCCTTGTGGCACACTAATTATCTTCCAAACTTTGCATGCGCAATAGGTCATATTCTGCACTCCTGTAGAAACATAAATTAAAATAAGTTTAAAAGAAAATTTATAATTTTATTATGAAACAATAAATTAAGTCAGAACTAAATGTGGATATAATCTACATACTAAAGAATAAATGTAGACCAAAATGAAATTAAACATAATGCATCGTAATATCGAAACAAAAATCATCAAAATATTAAAGGGGGGGGGACAAAGAAATTAAACCAAATTCTTCTAGTAAATTGACATTTGCAGGGGTGATTGTGAGCCCAACTCAAAATTCCGGAAAATTCATTGAGTTAAAAAAAATTAATAAAAAAGAAAAATAAGAACTGTTTAATTGAAAAATTAGAAAAAAATTTAAACAAGGTGTTTTTTTCTTTTTCTCAATATTTCTTAGTTCACTTAAAAATATTTAAAATTTTACACATACCTATACCATTTACACATACCTGGAGAAGTAATTAAAATTTACAAATATGTCTTTCTTTCTTGAGTTTATGATTATAACAACTATTTACTGATAAAAAATTAAAATTAATCATGAATATGAGCTTATAAAGTATCTCTCTGGCTCTCCCTTACAAACAAATAAAATAAACTGTGTTTTTAAGTTCCACCTTTGAAAATTTAATTTCCGGAAACTTCTGTGATAATGATTTTTTGAAACGCCTGGACCTTCGATCTCCGGAAACTTCCGGATCACTGTTAGCGAAAATTCCGGAAATCCGGATTTTTTCCGGAGCACAATCAGCCCTGCATTTGAAAGTAATTTAGTTTCTGCAAGAAATGAAATGAAAAACAATGCTTTCACTGCAATTTGATGAACAAGGGAGAAAAAAATTCGAATTAAAAATGTTAATAAGTTTATGTTGAGCATCATTTTCCAATTAACAGTTGGACATATTAAGAAAAACATCTTGATAGCAAAATTCTGAGTTTCTTTTTCATAAGACAATTCAAAGATTTAATTAAGATTATAAACCTGAAGGATGAGTAAACAGTGCGCAGTTCCTAAAGCTGAACTATCGTATGTTAGCTTTTAAGAGAGGACTACACAACAAACTACTGAAAAATGTAACAACTACAGTAGTTTCGTTATTTGAAGCATGCTACATTCGACCACTGGTCATAAGTTTAAAAAATATGAAATCACCGGTTGAAGCTGCCTTAATTTTTACAGCATATATCAAAATTTAATTACATACAAGCAACACATATCTTTCTACATATGGTAGTAATAAATTTTTCAGACATGGCTGGATTACCCATTAGGCCAGACTAGGCCATGGCCTGGGGCTCCCTTAAAATGGATTTTTTGAAAATAAATTTTAAAAAAAATTAAGAATAAATAAAAAATATGTGAGAAAAAAATTTTATTTAAAGGCCCCAAAAATTTGAATGGCCTAGGGCCCCGCATACTCTTAATCCGGCGCTGTTTTCAGATGATAAAAACTGTGTACTAAAAATCAATTAAAAAGTAAGTTAAACAGAAATTCTGATTTTTTTTTTAAAATCTCATCTCAAGAGTTACAAAAAGTCATTACAAGAGTACTATAGAATAAAAACTATGGAACTAACTTTTTTTCCTTACACCTTTCTTTCAAAACTTTAATTTCTTCTGGAGTTTTAGATACAAACTGATGGAAAAGAACTTCCCCGCTCATAAGACCTTCTTCAATTTTCATTAGTTGCAATGTCATTCTTGGACCAATTTCATAAAACCTTAAAATAAATAAAAAATATCGAATTGGAAAAAATATTTAATTAAAAATAATACAACACTCCAAATGTGTAGAACTCAAAAACTAAATAAAAGACCATACATAATGCGAGAAAATAATGTAATCCCCATGAAGAAAATATAAGTGTCATTCTTATTTCATAACTTTATGATGCTATAAACAAGTGCTAAGGGAAAAGAAATGCTAAAATATTACAGAATCAAGGATTATAATGCTAAATTTTATATATGAATACTTCATATTTTAACTCGATTGATTAACTAATATTTCAGTTATTTACTTATTTTTTTTTTCATTCTGTATCTCAGTACAGAGAAGGGTATATGCTAGTAATACTGAAACAACTTCAAATGTTTCCATTTTGATGTTTTCTTTCATAATTAATTCCATTAAAATAAAGATAACCCTCCTCTCTAAAGATAAAAGAGAAGCAAGAAGTAATAAAACTGCCCCAGAGATTGTTATTCTTTTATAGTAATTTTTATTTGAGAGGAAGATATCTTTAAAAAACAAATGAAAAATTGAAGAAGCATAGATCATTTATGTTGATTTTTTTATTGTAAGTTTAACACATTTTCAAATTGAAAATATTTTTATTTATCTTAAGACAAGATAATTATTGCTGGCACCTTGGGGAAAAAAAGGCGTTTATTTAGAAAAAGTAAGCTTTTGCGATTGCCCTAATTAATTAGAATTAAACGCTTAAAATTTTACTGATTATAGTGCCTTTTTTAGTTGAAATTCTGATTATTAGATCAAAAGTTAATAAGATTCGAACTAACTTTCATTTTTATTTCGAACTCTATTTATTTTATGACTCAGCTCAACTTAGTTAATCAAAGCAACAATGCGCAATATTTACAAACTTTTATTGTACCACATGAAAAAAGTAACATAGAAAGCAATATCATTTGTGTTAATGCACATAAAGAATGGTCAATCGTTCAATCTCTATTGGTGTTACAAAAAAAACAGTTCTTTTTAATAAATTCAAGCTTTTATAAAATTTCACTTTAAGACAATCATTTTTAGTTTAATATGAATTAAAAAAATTAAAGTAGCACTGAGAATTATGATACAAAATTTGAATTTAGAAGCAAATATACAACTTTAAATTTTATTAAATATCTGAATTTTACCACTCAAGACTAACATTAGGATTAAAATAGCAAAAGAACTTCTAAGTTACATTTTTTTTTTCATTCACTAAATTTGGTTGAGATCTACAAACAACAGTTCTTTACCATATAATAGTACATAGTGTAATTTTTAAATAAATAAACAAAAATATATTTAAAAATATGTTAACAATATACTGTCTGGCACAAGTTGAATGCTTACCGTATGGCACTTTTTTCAAAAGCTATGTTCCCTCGTGATGATATTGGCTGAGGTAAAGTAACCGTATTTGTTGCACCATCAAATTCAACTTCACTCTCAGAAAGATTACCAGATTTTTCAATGAAGTCTGAAATATCTTTATGCTGACTTAAATTTGGAACTTTTGATTGGATAAGTTTTTTAACAGCCTTACTTATTCCTGTAGGAACAACTTTTATGGCACTAATTAGAAAGAGAAAGAAATAAGTTACCCAAAAAGTTCAAACATTTTTTGATAGTAAAATAGAGCAATTGAAAAATTAGAAAATACAATATTTAAATTAAAGTAAATTAATTTCAAAATATTAACTGTAGTTCTTAAATTTTGTCTACAAGAACGAAAGAAAATTATAAAATTTAAAATAATACACAGAAAAAAAGTTTTGTATTGTGTTGCATATATTTATATTGTTAGATAGGGTGAAGCTTCAAATAGTTTTAAAATAAGCTTCTTAACAGCTTTACTCATTCCCATAGGAACTACTTTCATGGCACTATTTAGAAAGAGTAAATTAAGTTAGTCTAAATTAAGTTCAAGCACTTTTTAATGGTAAAATGGAAATATTATTAAATTACAAAATACAATATTCAAATCAAAATTAATTAATTAAAAAATATTTACTATAGTTTTCAAAGTTTGCCTACAGAACTAAAAGGAAGTGATAAAATTTAAAAGACACACAGAAAAAAAAAGGATGAAAAGTTTTGAATTATACAGCATATCTTTATCTCGTTTAATGGGGCCACAATATGTTAAACTTATGAAACAATAATATTTATCCAATGTAACAAAGCCAGATGGTGCAAAAAGTTATTTCTGATACGAAAGATAAGAGAAAAAGAATGAAAAAACAAAAAAAGGGGAAGAAAGGCTACTTAGGCACATTAAAGTTTTAGAGCCTGTATATATTTAAAGATAACTGCTTACTCTTTCAACAGAGATATTCTAATATAGATTCATCTTCACAAAATATTTGGAAAATTAATTTAATGTGTGAGACAAAATTCATAATATTGTGTTCTGCTACAGAAGAAAACATAATATTAATAAATAAATAAAAATATTAGTTATTTCGATCGACATTTTACAGTAAAATAATACATAAGTAAAACATTGCAAGCCTTTCTAGCATATGAGTTATTATTAAGGCTCAATTTGTTTAAAAACCAAAATAATTAATCTGTGCCTTACTCATTTATATAACTTCTTTAAATTTTCTAAAACAAATTAGACAAACAACGCACAATGCTAAAAAACAGCTCATAATTATTTATGCTTAAGACTCTACGCTTGTTTCATTTGCTTACGCTTTGTTTCGCCTGTTTCATTTTTAGGTACTTACATATTATCGCAACCAGGTTGGCGCGATTTGTAAGTTTAAGTAAGAAATTTTGAATAGAAAGAAAATGTACATTTATTAATTACAGATAATTTTTAATACAGTTTTTTATATTATTTTGTTTTAAAATTATTTAAAACAAAATTATTATTATTAAAACAAAATTATTATTAATTAATTATTATTAAAATTATCAAATTATTATTAAAACAAAATTATTTATTATTATTTTGTTTCTTAACTAAAAACCACGTAGGGTTGCTGTAAGTAGGGTAGCCAAATTTGGCGTAAGTAGAGTCGCCAAATTTGGCGATTTACGCACATTTTGGCCTGGTTGCGTTGATACGTAGGTACCCATTTTTACATAAATACATAAAAACAACCGAAATACAAGTGCGAAGCAAACAGTAAAAAAAGAACAAAATAATTATTAATATTACGTGTTACAGTTGTTAAATCATAATTATTTCTCTACTTATTTAAATATATATCGTAGCATAAATTTACTAACAAACAGGATAAAATGAAGCAAAAAAATAAATAAATACATCAAAAAAATATTTAGATTGGTTGAGTTTTTTAATAAAAGTGAATGAAATAAATCTTGATAACCTATACAAAAATTTTAAAGTTTTGTTACATTACCACATAAAAAAAAGGGAAAAAAATCATTAGAAGTTTCTTGAAATACTTACTATTGTCTCAAATCCACAGTTTTGTCTTCGTTATAGTTTAAGAATAAACATCTTCGAATAGTATTTAAGTTTGTCTGTAAGAAAATAAAAATTTATTGTATCATGTGGTTAACGCAATTAAAATGAAAAGACAAAAAAGTTTCAATGAGACTAGACAAACAAGCAATAAATATGTGAGAAATTGATCTAGTACTAATCCATGTTTATTAAAATAAAAAAGTTATGTATTAAGCATTTCAATAAAACATATAGATTATATAAGTATACATCTATAATTAATGATACAACCTGACATTAGATTTAAAATGAATTTGGGGATGTTTCGTATGAAGAAGTTAAAAGAAAAAGTAAACTACAACACACATACACGGCCCACACTCTTTAGTACGATCTCCCTTCCTATAATAACGACCAATACATGAAATCCCATTTGCTTTACAGACACCATGTTTTAACACCCATTAGAACTAAATGGAACTGTTCTAATATAGCATCCAAAATTTTGCTGCATTCTTTTTTACTCCTAAAAAACCACTCCAAAAACATGTTGCACATTTTTACACTTACATAACATAATTTTAGTACTTAAAACTAACTTAATTTTTGTACAAATATTAAAATCTTACACAGAGTTTCGAAACATTTGTGTGCATTCCGGACATTCGAAGGTAGCGGAAACGGCCCCTATCAGTTTTTTAGCCAACTTAGTCTTTTTAAAGAAAAATGAAGAATTATAAATTAAATAAAAACATGCAATACTCGAATTATAGTTTCAGAACAACACAAAAAAAAGTACTGGTACATAGTTACAGTGCATTACGGCCCCACCACACGTCTTATATATGTTATACTGAGTTTGAAATATACTGAAATTAGTTTCCAGCAAAAAAAAATAATAAAAATACTTCTAATGATGTGTCTTACCTTGTTAACATTTATAGATGGGAACATGTGTTGAAATGTTGTAGCCATTAGCTTCAAATGCACACCATCACCAGAGAAGTTATTTAAAACAAGAAGAGGTTGATGACGAAACAATTTTTCATAAATTACAGATTTCTTTTGAGAAGATATAATATCTTTAATTAAAGAGTACTCTTTTACTTGGTAGGTCAATGTAGGACCATGTGGAAGTTTTGCTGTTCTCAAATAGATTGCATTTTCAGTCTTAGTGAAAACTACTAAATGTGTAACATTTAAAGGACCCGCTATATGAACGAAATCTTTCAATACATTCGCTTTTTGTACCTGTAATAAGAAAAATCACAGCATGGAAATTCTGCATCAAACAGGGTAGGTATTCAAAAAATACTGAAAATTCTTTTTAGTTCTTTTGCTTACCTTTAATTGAGAAGCGGTATATGGTTCCATTATTTTTCGAAAATTTAGCAATAATTCGTGTCCATTCTTTCCAAGCTTTCCTCTGTTTATAACAAAGGAATGAGGTGCAAGTGCCTCGGGTTCATCAATTCTTTTTTGTGCATTTTTTGCAGCTTTACCTCTCTAAAAAAAAGGGACTATATTAAAAAAAAAAAAAAAAACTATTTTTCAGCAATAAAAGAAATAGAACAACAATGTGTAAATTTGAGGCATACATTAACAGTAACTTTATATGGTGTAAATTTCTTCATAATTTTTCTAAAGTAAAAGAGAAACAATGTTTTTAAGACTTCAACATAATTGTTACAGCTATATCTGCAAAATTTTTAAACCTACTATAAAATAAAAATTTAAAATGATCATTGAGATCACATACAAAAATAAAAGAATCCTAAAAAATGTTTGGCATAAGCATAGGCACCAACATAAAGAAGGAAAAAAATCCACTAGATTGTAAGAAACAACATTAAAGCAAGAAACTTTAGAAACAGTTTTCCTATATCAAAAATAAAATAGTAAAATACAAAGATAATTACACTAATAAAAAATCAATCGAATAAATTTACTGCAATACTTTCCATTTATGATTGATATATTTAAATAATAGATAATGAATTCTTGTGAATTTGAAAATGTTTTAAAATATACAACAACCAGGAAAATTTTTGATTAAATTAGTCCAAACTAGCAAAATCTAGTTGATTCAGCTGTTAGGACCCAGACTGATGCCAAATTTTAAATGTTTTAACCAAAGGCAAGTATTAAAAAATTTTTATAATTATTTTTTTCTCCATAAAAAATTTCAAATCAAAGGGCAAATTTACTATAAATTGAACTATTTTATTAAAATCCAAACATTAACATTTTGAAATGTAGCATACAAGAGATAAATAGACTTATAAATAATGAAAATAATAAAACACATTTTATTTTCTTTCAATCTTTGTACAAACCAGGTAAACGACTATTTTTACTACTGCACCAACCTTCAAAAGTTCAACAAACATTCAAACGCACTAACATTCACATTCAAAAGAGACGGTGGTTTAATTTTTAATAACTTCTTAGAATAAAGCAAGAGGATAAACTTGCAGCAGCATTTGGTGTTTTCTTAGATTCTAATTATCATTTAGATAAATATATTTCATTTCAAATAAAACATTTCATTATATGAGTCTTTTATTTTTTAATGAAAGAATTTCAACTATCTCCATTATTTTGTCCTTTGGGTACTCTGGACAGATATGCCTACATACATCAGTTTCTCCCACACAACAAACTGGCTCAGGGTTGGCAAGGTTTAGGACAGAATGGATTAATCCACAGTTTAAACCGTCCTGTCTGAAACCCCTTTGTCCAAAACCCTTTTACTCAAATTATGTCACAATTTTATCTGAACAATATTTAAAAGGTTAAATAAACATAGAACTGATAACATATTGATAACTAAATCTACTAGAGAATATTTGTTTTTGTAAGTTTGTTAAGTATAATGTTTTATTAATATTTTTTGACTCTTCAATTTAAACAAAGGAAGATAATCAAGTTCAATTGGTCCCCTTAGCATTCAATAGCACATAACTGAAGCTTGACCTAGTCATACAGGTTAAGCTATTAGGGACTAAGTGCTTGGTTAGTCATAAACAGGTTTATTTATCTATAACACTATTCATGAATACTTTTATTTCATTCATGTTCAATTCTTTAAGCATAGTGGTAATACATCACCAGTGTCAGTAACTGAAATTGATGTTATGCTATTCAAAACTGTTATTACATTTTTCAGTTATTTTGTATTTCTAATTTAAACTAATATATTTATATTTAAAAACAATTTTTTTTTAAATAGATGTCGTTTTTATCATCCTGTGATGAAGAAATTATAAAAAAATTTTTAAAAAATATTGTGAAAAATAAAAGGTTAATTTTTAAACAATGTTAGTATTTTTTTTTTAAATATATTTTTTTTAATATTGTATTATTTATCCTTACGCAAAAACATAACTTATCAGTATTAAAAGCATATTTACATTTAAAGAATAAGGTATTCACTTTTGTCGTTCAATGAATTGTGGAGCCTCAAAAATTATAAACCTTTTCCTAATAAATTATATTATTTTCCTTTAATAAGTTAAAGTAAATTACATAAAAAATATCAAATATTATGTGTACAATGGTTACACACATAGAATTTTTACCTTTTACCAAAGTTCACGGGTTTGGACACTTTAAGACAGTTTTAGTCAGTTTAGGACAGTAAAACCCATGTGTCCAGACCAAAACCAGTTTAGGACATCCAAAACCCCAACCCTGAACTGGCTATTTCTGGAACAAAATAGGTCAAAATATTTTTATTTATTTAAATAATATTAAGTAATATGGCCTAAAATTTGTATGGCCTTAAGGTTTAAAGCATGAATACATTAGTCCTTAACTTATTCGATTTTTATTTTAAAGATATAAAATAGCATACATAAAGATTCATTATTGTAATAGCAGTAAAATTAGAAAGAACAACATTGTCTTTATTACAGTGGGTACTAGTAGTGATAATGTTACGCATATAATTGCTTTATGAAGTATGAGTACTCCTATTCCTGTTAGTTACGCTGTAAAAACAATATATTCGCAATATTTATGTAGAAAAAATTACATAATCAATGTTTAGGAGAGGAAGAAGAAAAATCACAATTTTTTAACAGAAATTTTAATGTAGTAAAATCACGTAACAGTACAATCTAAGAATTAGTGGCATTCATGAAATAGGCAATTCAGATTATTCTCTTTTCCAAGAAATGTAGAATTAAACATATGAACTTGAAAGGATAAATAATAAGTACCTTATGCTTCATTTTCCCCATATTTTTAATAAATATATATATTATTGTAACACTACTACACGTGAGGAATTAGTACAGGAGAACAAGAAACTTTTAAATTTTTATAATCAATCTTACGCTGTTGCTGGTTTGTATTTGTTCAATTGTAAACTTACAATTTTAGGAAGTAAGGTTTAAAAAAGTTTTTCAAGCAAATGACAAAACTTAATTACATGCATTTAAGAAAAATAAATTTTTGAATGGAAAGTTTTTATGGCAAGTAAATTAAGCATTTAACTTTAAAAAATAATTAGTGCAAAATACAGTTGGCTTTATTACTATGAGTTATTGCATTTTACTTGAAAGTACAGGTATAAATTAACAATATGAAAGCTGTAAGCAAAGATTATGACACACTTGTAATTTTTTACATGAACTTCGCCATCAATTTAACTATCAATCGTCTGTTTCCAAACGGAAAAATTCCCAGCATAAAGAATAAATAAATTATTCATATAGTACTATTTCATGCGAAAATAATTTGCTGTATATTATCGATGAAGTGAAAAACAACTAAGAATTCGCGATGACTAACATCCGTCTTGGAATCGTAGGATGTGGATTAACGGGAGTAATTACAGCTATGTTAGTTAAGCAGCGACTTCCTCAAATTAGTGTCATGATATTAGAGAAGTCAAGAGCAACTGGCAAGTTTTACTTTAGGAAAAATAATATATTTTCATTTATTGTTATTATTTTTCATTCCAAAACCTAAGTAAAATCGCTTCAAAAACATATTTTATAAGCATTTTTGTGTTTCAAAGAAAAATATCACCCCCATTGCCAATCAATCACTTTTGATCGAAAAAACTTTAAAGAAATAATTGAAACCACGAATTCTTATATATTACCGTACCTTAAGCATCTGATATTCCCCTTGATGACGAAACAAAATTATTACATTACAGTTTAGAATAAGCATACATTTTAAAATCATAGATAATTATAACAGTTTTCTTTTCATTAAACTCTGTTGGCATTGACATTAGTAAATTATGTGAAAGCTTAAAAAGAAATATTACTTGTACTTCAATATTAATGCTATTTTTTATAGCCAAGTTTAATTTAAATAATAATATACCAAACTTTGTTATTTTGTTTCAAAGGGTGAAATAATTTATCAGTGTTATTTTCTTGTTTCAAAATTCTTTTTCTCCAATTGTGGTAAATTTAACAGCTATAATGGTTTATTTTAAAGTTAAAACATGTTGTATATATACTTAAATTTTGTTTTTGCTTCTATATTTATTATTATTATGTAATTTTCAATATTTATGGTGTAAATTTTCATCTTTAATCAATGGACAACTTAAGTACCGTCATGTGGGGCTACTTTGTGCAGGATTTTTAATTCAAACTTTAGTAAAATTTATCAATATTAATATTCATAACAGGTCTCAGACGAGTGAATTTGATCAATATTAGCATTATTTGTATGTAATATTTATAAATAATAAGTCAAAACATACCTTGCACAAAGTAGCCCCCAAGTGGGGCTACTTTGTGCAGCGATAGGAATTCAGTTTAACAATCATGTTTTTAGTAAAATATTGATATAAAATTGTTGAAAAAGTAATTGTTGACATTTTTAATAACAAAAACATCAAGATATGTAAAGATATTACTTTGAAAATAATTTTCAGCGTTAAAAAACCATTTTTTATAAAGAATTTTTTCTTAAAAAGAATGTTTATTTCAAAACATTTGAGTTTAAACAAAAGGAATCCATCTTATCCTCGAAATCGGCAACTTTCCTGTTTGTGCGATTCAAGATATCGTTTTGTGATAAGCCTTAGATCAAAAAGTTGCAAAGGTACGCCCCATTCAGCCAGAAGTGCACAATACTTAGACAGAACTTGCTCTTCAGTTTCTGTCAAAATCACCTGATGTCCTATAAAATATATTTTTATGTGTTAAATCGTTTGATTAATTCATTAGAAAATCTTCGTAGAAGAAAAAGAATAGTTTACTAGCACGTTTCACGTGTTTCTTGTGAATTTTATTAGAGATACTATTTCTGTGGATTTTGTACTTCAGAGAAGCTTCTGCAATCGACATACCACCAGCAACTGCTTGCAATCATTGTTGCAGCTTTTCTAAAGTGTAATCACAGTAGTTTCTCGTTCCAGGTATTTTTTTATAACGTCTGATCATTTTTCTGTCGAAAAATAATGAATGAAACTTTGCACAAAGTAGCCCCTCAGTGCATTTTTTTTTCATTTTCCGTTTATGTGTTATTAATTTTCAAATTTTTTTAACGCTAACATGATATAATTGTTTATCAATATATGAATTAAAAAATTTGCACTTACGACAATTGTTTTGTCAACATCTTTGCATTTCACAGCTAAAGTTTCCACCCACACTTTTCGACGTCCGCCGTTCTCGGAAAGTTTTTGACATTGAATAAACAAAACACACTCTGAGATTGTTTTAAAATTCGAAAAAATTTTTGTAGCAATAGAGGAGACTTCTATCTTCAAATTCCACACATTTTTAGCATGAAAAAAACAAACAATAATACTGAATGGCAGCACTTGAAAAGTGCCAAATTCGAATTTGCACAAAGTAGCCCCACATGACGGTAGTTATATTAAGTGGACTTAAATGGTAAAAATCCTTATTCCCTCTTGCTATGCAAGATATTTGCAAAACCAACTGGAACAGTTGTTTTACTTAGTTTCTTAGCTCTGAGCCACAAGGAAATCTGATGTCAGCTTCTTGATATGTTAATTTGTAAACTGCAGTAGAAGAAATAAAAGCTTAGCTGGAGAACTTATTTATGCAAACAGGGTGTACAATAAGTTTTTATACAGTATTCATATCTTAATGGGTGAAAAATAAATTATTGTATTCAATAATTTATTTCATTAAATGTTGCGAAATACAAATTTTCAATCGCAAAGCTTTTAAAAGATAAAAATTCAAATAATATCCCTTGATTTTAAAATGAAGTGAGTGGAAAAAAGTGACAAAATTTTTTCAAGCTGCAGATACATTTGTCTAAGTTTTAAAACCATTGTATAATCCTTAAAATTATTGACAATGGTAAGTATTTATTTTAGGTATGCCTCTTAAAATCTTGGTTTGTAGATTTTGAAAAATATCTAGAATGATGTTTTGGGGAGCTTTTTCAAAAAGTGAAAAAAAAAAATTTTTTTTGTAAGAGAGTTAAAATTTGTACCAAAACTTGTTATTAATTTTAGAAAAGGTTTATTTGCTCACTCCTTGTAATGTTTTATTTAAAACAATGAGAGCCTATAGATACCCTTCATGTCACTCAAGGTTACACACATTAACAAAAACATTCACATATCTATACTAAAAATAAGTTTTAGAGTGTTTTACTTAACACTTTTTGCTTCTTGTTTTAGCTGCATTTAAACAATTCTATTTGAATAAAAAGCTCTATGACTTATATATATACAGGGTGATTCTAAAAAGATGGGCAAAATTTTAGGAAGTGATTGCACACACCCAAGCAAACAATTTTTATCAAAGAATGCATGGTCGAAAACAAAACGCAAAGGTGCTGGCACGTTTGGAAAGTTGTTTCATGCAAACGTGAAAGCTCCATTCCTATTGCGAGTTACTGCGCTGCATTACTTGTTGCCAAGCTATCTGCCGCTGCAGGCAAAGTTCGTGATATGTCTGGTGTGTTTCAGGATGTTTGCCTATCTTTTCTTTGCCGTTGTACTGCTTGCATAGCCGCTGCCGGCCACTGTTTTGAACACTTATTGTAATCACATGTCATTAAATTTGCTTTTATAACTTAACTTCATCGTTCTTTGTGTGTTTTTGCCCCATATAAGAACATAAACTTTGACGCCCTCTAGCGGTTTTGCGTTTTGTTTTCGACCATGCATTCTTTGATAAAAATTGTTTG